ATCCGTAATGAAGAAAAATCTGATTTTGGTATTCATATGGTGGTCGCACGTGGAATGGCTCAGTGCGCCCGACTTGAAACTACTTGCGCGATGGGGCGTTAAAATCAAGTCGGAAAGTCCGACCGCGACGCTTGAGCCATTCCAAATGCCGCCAGAAGTGTCCGACCGCGATGCTTTGAGCCCGACTTGAAACTACTTTCGCGGTGGGGCACTAGGGGCCATGTTTAGTGTTTGACCTTGAGCCATTCCAACTGCGGCCATAAAAATCCGTAATGAAGAAAAATCTGATTTTGGTATTCATATGGTGGTCGCACGTGGAATGGCTCAGTGCGCCCGACTTGAAACTACTTGCGTGATGGAGCGCTAAAATCAAGTCGGAACGTCCGACCGCGACGCTTGAGCCATTCCAAATGCGACCAAGTCATCTAAATTCTTGCTAAGAAAGGTAATTTATCATTCTTTCAGTTTTCTCCGCTTGCAGCTTTGAAAATCCACTCTCAAAACTTTCAAACTCATGCTGTGTCCAGTTCCTAATTATTGCTCATCTTATGGAACTCATTTAACACAAGTTTTTAGAACGATTCCCAGGCTAAAATTAGTAGGAAGAATAGGAAATACATTTTTTAAAGTCATGAAATTTCCAATTTTTTATTTATTATCCAGCTCAAAAGTATAATAATTAGGTAATGAGACACCCAGACAGCATTTTGATTTTTTAGTCGAATGGCTAATGATCCAGACTTGAAAGCCAGGAGTTCCTGGTTCAATCCCCCAGGAGAAAAACGAATCACTTCCCATTTTTTTCGTAATCAAATTAAAAACGCAGATAACTCGATCTGAGGAAACTAATCCAAAATCGTCACTTCCTTTCGTTTTTTTGCGATTTCTCGGAGAAAGAACGGCCGGAAAGGGAGTTGACAAGGTATTCGGAAGCTTTCTTGGCACCATAATTGGCCGTTTTTTTGCAACGGACTGATTTTGATTGTTGCCTACGCAAAACGCTGTCTTTTCTCTCTTTTTTTGAGCCAGTCAGCAAGTCGCGGTGGAGCTAATTTGATGAAGAGTCCCATTATTTAGCTAATGAAAGAGTATGTCGAGACTACGTCGAAAATAGCCTTAGTCATTAGTTTTGCAGAAGGAACTCGGAAAATATCCGTTTTTTGAAGGTATAGTTTGGTCACTGGGTTATTAAAGGAGCATGCCCTGATTTCGAAAAAAAGCTCAAGCCGAAAAGCCGTTTTTTAAAACAGACAGGCTTTTTTAATGTAGAATCTATGAGAGGAAACTTTGATTTCACTGAAAAATTAGAAAATTTGAAATTTGGTATAAATCGCAAAAAATTCAAAAATGGCAAAAATTAGATTTACCTGGACCGGAATCGAACCTGCGACCCGTTTAGGCCCAGTCAAGGACTTCACCCGCTGCGCTATGCTAAAATTTTGATCTTTTTTTTTAGAAATTGTCTCTTTTTTGCTGTTATCATGAGTGCCAACTCGAAAAAAATTTTCAATATCTGATTTAGCGGCAAAAATTAGATTTTTCCTAGAGTGGAATCGAACCTGCGACTTTTCGTGCCCTAAAAGACTACTCTAGCCACAGCGCCATCTTCCATATTTATGAGTAAAACTTTGACTTCCTACCGCTGTCTTTTTGTGATCTTTTTTTCAGAAAAATGTGAATAAAAAATGGCAAAAAAAACTTTTCCTGGGGCGGGATCGAACCTATGACCTATTCAGTCGTGATAACTTGTGTTAGCCACTGCGCTAGAGCGAATTTCTTCAAATTTTCATCATTTTTTTCTTTCAAATAAGAACCTGTCCTCTTCCTTTTTCAGCCTATTCTCTATATAACCTGTGAAAAATGGCAAAAATGTCATTTCCCTGAAGAGGAGTCGAACCTGTGACCTTTCAGACCTCATTTAAATCCTTGCAAAAAGTCCATTTTTCTACCTTTTTTTCAATTTCAAGCCAAAGAGTTTTTTGCAACTCCTCCGGGAGCTCTGGCTCCGCCCCTCGCTAAGCCACGCCCACCTTCATCCGAAAATCTGCTCGGCGGAGCTCACAAGGACATTTCTGTTCTGGCCGCAGTCCGCGGCTCTTTTTTCTTTCTGATTATCGCTCTCTTGATAAAAAAAAAATGTATCCAACTTTCTTTCTTTCTTGAATCTGAACACTAGAGGACAAGAGCTGCTGATTAAAAACGCCGTGTTGCTCATGTTAGAGGCTGAAAAGCGCTTTTCTTGAATTAAAAAAAGGATCCTAGTTCACTTTTTCACTTTTTTTTAGCTTTGAAAAACTTTCTGGCCGATATAAGTTGTGTACAGGGATCGAACCCGAGACCCATTTAACCACATTCTTCTGCTTTGACCACTGAGCCATCATAAAAACGCCTAAATTCCATGTGAAAAGTTTCAAAGAACGTTTTTAAGCGTTGAGTTAGAAGTTATAACATAGAACCACCTGATAGCCGAATGGCTAAGAGGAACTTTTAAGAATCAGAGGGTCGCAGGTTCGATCCCTCCCCAGGAATCGTTTTTGCCATTTTCGAAAATGAAGTTCCCGCTTCATAAAATGATTATACGGTTATTAATAAAGAGAACTTTGATGCTACGGACTGAACGAAACGAAAAATATGGAAATCGTAAAAATGAAGCCTAGTGGCTAAGCATCTAGACTATGACTCGAGAGGTCACGGGTTCAATCCCTCGAGTTTTCAAGTATTTTTTGCTTTTTTGCGAAATTTTCTTGAAACCCCCAGAACACAAGTTTTGAACCTAGAAGCAAAAATCTCAATACCAGAAGCCATATTTTCAAAAATCACCACTTTTCTTTGAATATCACGCGCTTTTAATTAAAATAAGCTGATGAAAACCAGGAAACGGCCGATTTTCCTGATGAGGTGAGAATAAATGAGAGAAAAAACGGGCTTCCTTCCCACATTCGGTATTAATAAATTCTCGGGCTTCTTCCATCGAAAACGCTACATTTTCCAGATGAATTATTCAATTTAGCGATGAGATGTAAGGTCGTCAGCAAGTCTCTAGTCTGTTTCAATTTTTTTAAATAAAAGAAAAAAATGAAGACTCAGGAAAAATTATTTTTTTAAAGATTCATCAGAAGTCTCTAGAAAATTTGAAAAAAATGAGCTTTTTGAACTGATTTTTTTGACTTAATTATGTTTCAAACTCTATAAAATCCTTCAAAATTCTTCAAAACGATGAATTCAACGGAATTTTTTTCATTTTTTTCAAGGCTTAAAAATTCTGATTTTTCAGAAAACTGAAAAAAATATCACTTTCAGGCTTTCTTTTTGACAGTTTTCACGTGTCATGATGACTCATCATTGCTCATGTTATCGCGAACTTTTTTTGAACCGGTTGTTATAAAAAAATTATAATAAAGTTCTATCAAAAAAATTGAATAGAAAAAAACGGGGTTTCAATTCTCTAATATGAGCAATAATGAGTAAATTGAAACTAGATGCCAGATTTTAAGAAGCTTCTCACTTATAAAAAAATTTAAAATTTATAAAAAAATCAAAAGAGTTCTAAGCAGCTTCTGCATAGTTTAATGACTTTTTATTTCGAAGCTTACCCTCTCAAACATGAGCAACAAGACGCTAAGATGAGCAATGACTTCCTCGTCGTCCGAGATGATTAATTGGGCCAAAATTTGCTCCGTTATTAAAAAAATTTAGAAAAAAATTTTAACGCATTTTACTCAAATTCATGGCTTTTATTCCTAAATTTTCCCTCTCTAACATGAGCAACAAGACGCTAAGATGAGTTTTGATGACCTTTATTTCTAAGCTTTTCCCCTTCAAACATGAGCGACAAAACGCTAAGATGAGCAACGACTTCCTCGTCGGCCGAGATGATTAATTGGGCCAAAATTTGTCCCGTTATTTGGAAATTGCGTGGCAACACGAGATTGAATATGGGTGGGAAGCCTCCCACGGCTTTTTTTCCTCATTCCTAACAGGCTTCTTGATTATTTTTGGAATTTTTACATAGTCTAACTCAATTTTCTCTCGTGAGAGCCGACTTAGGGCATGTAGAATGATGCAAAACCGTTTTGAGTCGGGCGCAAAAGCTTCGCGGCCTTCGAGTCGCTCCGCGTGCGGCCAATGACTCCAACTTCATTGAAAATTTTTTTTAATCTTAATATTTTTTTAAGATTCAAACAGACATCAAAGCATTTTTTTCAGCCCTTTTAATTTTTTGAGAACGTTCTGAAACATTAATCTCATTCATAATCTAAAAAATGACTCTTTTGAAAAATCTCGATTTTTCACTGTACATTATTTCCAAATTTGGGGAATATGATGACTTTGGATTTGGCACCCCGAAAAGTCTTGAAAATTGAGATTTTTTCCTTACGAACTACTAAAGAACCTTTCATTTTCCTCAGCTTTAGCGACCCCTAAAGGGAAACCTTCAAGGGTCATAAGGTTGCCCCTTTAGGAACCGCTTTTTGACTCCTATAGGAGAGGTAGAGTAGTCCCTAGAGGGTTAACTTCAAGGTTGCTCCTATAGGGACCACTCTGGGCTTTGTGACTCCTGCAGGGGAGGTAGAGTGGTCCCTAGAGGGTTACCTTCGAGGTTTCCCTTATCGGGACCACTTTGTGACTCCTATAGGGGAGGTAGAGTAGTCTCTAGAGGGTTAACATCAAGGTTGCCCTATAGGGAACACTTTGTGACTCTTACAGAGAGGTATAGTAGTCCCTAAAGGGTTAACTTCAAGGTAGCCCCTATAGGGACCACTCTGGGCTTTCTAAGCGTCTCTTCTATACTTTTTCTTTTAAATTTCGAGTTTCGTATCCTTTTTCGCGATTTTTTGTACATCTAAAGAATTGAAGAGGCCCCTCTAGGGTTTTAGAAGCCTTTCCAATTCTGATACATTCCTGCAAAAACCAGCTCAACTTTCAGGCGGAACCAAACTCTTCTCTCCCTCTCCTGTCCCCTATCTTCTTCCGAAAAAGCCAAACTATAAAAAAGAGAGATGATGCGCTCGACGGCGACGCTTTTCTTCCTGCTGGCGGCTTTCCTGGTGCTCGCCAACGCGCAGATGACCTTCACAGACCAGTGGAGCAAGAAGCGGGGCGTCGACATGGTCAAGCAGTCGCACAACGACCGATTTCCGGGGTTCGTCTTCCTTTTTTTTTTAGGAGCGACTACAACTCGAAGACTCCTGAGTTCAATCCCAGTCACAAAAAAACCAAAAAAATAATTTATTTCATTCAAAACGGCTCAAATTTTGATTCTAATGGGTTCTGAGCCACAAAAAAAGCCAAAAAAATAAAGGAATTTGATTAAAAAAATGGCTCAAATTTTTGATTTTTGACGCGTTTTTTTGGGAGAAAAAAATTCCGTAAATTCAGAAAAAAATTCAGAAAGCTATTTTTTTATAATCTGACTACAATTCGAAGACTCCTGAGTTCAATCCCAGTCACAAAAAAGCCAAAAAAATAATTTTTTTCATTCAAAACGGCTCAAATTTTGATTTTGATGGATTTTTGATGGAAGTATAGTCAAGTCGCACAACGACCGGTCTTCGTTTTTTTGAAAAAAATTTGAAGTATTTTTTTATAAAATCTGACTACAACTCGAAGGCTTCCGAGTTCAACCCCAGTCACAAAAAAACCCGAAAAAAATGAATTATTTTATTTAAAAACGTCTCAAATTTTTTGATTTCGATGGGGGTTTCGAAGAAAAAAATTCAGTCAGTTCTTGGTTATTTTCCAAAAAAACTGATTAAGACTCCTGAGTTCAATCCCAGTCACAAAAAAACCAAAAAAAATTATTTTTCTTAAAACTTGATCCTGATGCAGAAACATATGGTCAAGAAGTCTCAAAACGACCGATCTTTAATATTTTTTTAGTTCAAAAAAATTGAATTAAGTTGAGAAACTTGAAATTGAAAAAAATAACAGTAAAAACCCATCTCGACAGCCTAACAATGGCCCGGTCGCACTAAGAATTGCTCGTAGCGAGAATTTTAAGGAAATTTTTTCAACCATCAGATGATTTTTTGAACGCCGATGTAGTCAAAATCTATAGTCAAAAATCTTCAAGTAAACCTAGGGGGCGCAAAGCCCCGCCCCTTCACGCCACCAAAATGACGATTTTTTTGTTGCAAAAACGGTTTTGAGGCGTTTATATTAGCTAAAGTCCCACTTTGAAAATTAACTGTTTCTCTTAATCTATGTAATCGACAACGCTCTACAAGACTGAATATTTTTTTAAAACTATGTATTTTTTTCAAAAAAATAAGCGAAAAAAAGTAAGATTTAACACGAAAAAAACTGACAAGTTTCACAAAAATCGTCGCGTTTCAGAAAACCAAATGAGGAACGCTTTTTAAATTTTTGAGTATGTTATATATTAACACTTTCTTTATTTTTTTCGAGGGAAAATTTTTAAAAAAAATCTAACGACGCGAAAAATCGAAGCTTGTAAAGTGACACCAAACTTTGAAGCTGAAATGCGAAAAAAATTTCAGCGACATGGTATACTTTTTTTATTTGATTTAAAAACTCACAATGTGTTCAAAAAAATAAAAAAATTCAGAATGAAAATAATTATTGGGACAGCGAATTAAATTATATTTGAATTTTTACCAAAACCACCTTTTTTTCGCCTGCCTCGTTGTCGCATGAGAGAATAGGATCGCGTTTATACTTTTGATCAGGTTATTAAGCGTTCAAAAACTCTATCAATAAAAAAATTATGAAAAAAATCTAACGACGCGAAAAAAATAACGGCTTTGAAAAACCTCGAAAAAAATGACAACTTTTTTTGAAATTTTTGGAAGAATTCGTGCAAGCATTCGTAGCTGTGTTCGCGTCAAACACACCGATGCGCCATTTTAAATGTTGCAGGAGCCGTTTTTTGGAGTCAAATTGCACATTTTCCTGTTTTATTTCGAAATAACATTATTTTTCATTTTTTCTTTTTTCCAAACCAAATGATAATAATTTTTCTGATTAGAAAAAAGAAAAATAAGCTGAAAATTCCTTCTGACCTTTTTTCTAAGTAGTTTTTTGATATTTTATCAAAAATTCTTATGAAGATTGTACAAAAGATTCATACCAAAACATGAAGCTCAGTTCGGACAACCTCTCAGAACAGAAAACTGATTAGAAAACGGTTCAGAAATGCGCAAAAACATTTAAAAAGAAAGCGTGCGGCAGCGGGTAAACCGTGAGATTTTGCCTCCAGTTGTACGCCGCGCGCGCTAGTTTTCTGGCCATAACTTTTTTCTTAGTGGACCTTTTTTCAAAAACTAAACGGATTATGAAAATGGACAGTCTCCTCTATCGAACAGTGTGAAAAACATATTTTTTGAATCGTTCTGAAGAAATGGCTTGCGGACCCTAAGTAAACCTGAATCAAAAAAAAAATCAGATCAGAGAATTTTCAATAACTCCAGAGGCACTGACCCCTAGGACGGTTTGGTAGGCCATTTTCAAAAATAGCAAATTCTAAAAATTCAGCCATTCCCAGTGCGGACCAAGTTGTTCAAAAATACTTTGTTCGTTCGGTAAATTAAAAGGTAAATTATTGAAAAATCGCCTTCATAGGAAGATCTTCGAAATTCCTAGTAAAGAAAGTCCTTCCTGCAGAAGACGTCCGACAGATTAGCGTTCAAAAAAAATGAATGAAAAAAAAAATGCGTAAATCCTCTTTTCCAACTGTGATTACTCATAAGATTGTACGTAGAGTAATTTCTTGGGTTATGTTCTCTTCTAATATAAGTTTTTGAACCCTTTTCTCAGAAAAAAAAACGTTTTGAGAAAAGTCAGGCTTTTCGAAATTGTAGTAGCTCAAAGTTCAAAGAGCCAAAGATTCTGTTTGTTTAGCTCAGTGGCTTGTGATGAGAACTACAAATCAAAGGTTCTCAGGTTCAAACCTCGGGCTAGAAAAAAACTTGGAAGAAAAAAACAAAAAAATGTTACTTCATAGTTTGTAGAATAGTTTTTTTGCAGGATGGCTGACGTAAAAAAAGTGCGAGGGGGGGTGGGGGGGCTTTTTTAAATAATTAATTTTTTTCTCGACTTGGAAAACGAGTTGAGTAGATTGGCAAGGGTGACGCGTTGCGTACGTGTCGCGGCTTTTCGGGGGCGCGAGCTTTTAGGGTTTTTTTCTCATTTCTTCGACTATTTTTTTCAATATTTTCAATTTTTTTATGGTTGAGAAGATTTACATGAACAGATATAAGTATAAAAAAACTATGAAAAAAAAATTTTTTCCAACATTTTTTTCCATGATCAAATATGACCCCCCTCCTTAAACACTCTCGTCCAAATCTAAAAAGATGGATTTTTAGATTCTACGAGTATCTTTGCTCTTTTTGAACCTTAAACCATGACCTTTCCCAATTAATCCCCCGTGACTGAACTTTCTCCCCCAAATCACTTATCAGAGCCTAATCCTAAGAACCTTTCATCTTTATAATCCACAAACTATACTCCAGTCTGTCTACGTCTTCAAAATGACAACCACAGAAAATAGAAAAATAATAAATCCCCAGGGAAAACGTGACATTTTTTGGGATTTGCGCAACATTTTCTCAGACTACCGTAGTCTCGAAAAAATGTGTATGCGGAAGAAAAGAAAGAAAATTTGAGGAAAACAAAATTTTAATTCGATTAGACTTGAATTGAAAAACAAACGGATAAATGAGTCATGAGATGAAAAATGAATCCGGATGTGAAAAAATTTGAATTTTGACTGGGAGAAGCTGAAGTGGGTTTTCTCGGGATTTTGAGTTTTGGGGTCTTTAAAGACCATTTTTTCTCCCTATAGGATCTCCTCCAGCTTTTCCCAGGATGGCTGACATAAAAATGAAAAAAAGGGGGGTGTTTCTTTAATATACCTTGGGAGAGGGAGGGGGCTTTTTTTCCTATAGGGTACTACAGCTTTTCTCAGGATGTTTGACGTAAAAAAAGTGCAGGGGGGGGGGTTTCTCTAGTACACTTTGGAAGGAGGGGGGGCTTTTTTTCCTATTGGGTTATGATTGACGTAAAAAAATGCGTCTTTTAGAAATACTTGAAAAAAAGCAATATTTGCCCCCTGATTAATTAAACTTTCGATATTCTACATAAAATATCAGCTTTTTCTCCCTTCAAAGAAGGACTTGAACCGGAAAAAACATTCTTTTTGAGAAGAAACAAATAAATTGTTTTCTATTGTTCGGCCCCCACGTGGTCGTCTAGGCTTCCGAGCCCATTTTTTCCCCTTTTATTCTATTCTTTCGGTCCAACCAACCGTGTGACTCGTTTATTTTCCGCCGGAATACATGAAAGACTCCACGAGATTTTGATCTTTGGATTTGGAATTTTTGAAGATTTTCTTGGGGGAAATCGGCGGGAAGCCAGAAAGATGGTTTTTAAATTTAGGTTTTTCTATTTGGGAAGTTTTTTTTATTGAAAGCTAAAGTGTCAAATAACTTACAGGCTATCCGTGTATTTAGAATCTCTCCATTTTTTTTTTTGCCCCAACGGCAAAAATATCCAAGTTCTGACGGAGATCGAACCAGAAAGTCCTCTAGCCATAAACAATCCACTTAGCCACTGGGCTATCGTGTGATTTGCTGTATAGTCACTTTTCAGTTGGCAAAAATCTTTTAGTCCTGCGCAAGATCGAACCAGTAAGTCCTATAACCCTAGGCAAGATTCTAAGCCACTGGACTACCTTGAAGTATTGGCAAAAATATTCAAGTTCTGACGGAGATTGAACCAGAAAGTCTTCTAGCCACACTCAAAGCCTTTAGCCGCTTGATTATCATGCAACCCAGTACCTAGTTTCTCCGCCTAAAGAAAAATACTGACCTAATCATCTGGCAAAAACATTTTCTCTGATGGGGATTGAACCAGAAAGTCTTCTAGCCATAGTCAAAGCCCTTAGCCACCCGACTATCATGCAATCCAGTCTCTAGTTACTCTGTCCGGGAGAAAATTGACCTAATCATTTGGCAAAAAGTTTTTTTTTCAACGGGGATTGAACCAGAGAGTCTTCTAGCCATAGTCAAAGTCCTTAGCCACCCGACTATCATGCAATCCAGTCTCTAGTTACTCTGTCCGGGAGAAAATTGACCTAATCATTTGGCAAAAAGTTTTTTTTTCAACGGGGATTGAACCAGAGAGTCTTCTAGCCATAGTCAAAGTCCTTAGCCACTCGACCACTCGTCAATTTTTGAACATTCCAACAAGAAGAGCTTACAGGGAGAAGCTGGAATGCTCGGCGGACCTGACCCAGGACGTTTTGGCGCAGTTGGAACGGCTCCATGCCGTCCAGGAAAGACTCATCTCCTACCTCGGAACCTGCTTCGAGCAGAAATAAATGACGTCATCGTCTTCTGAATCCGCCACGTCAACATCAACGTCAAGAGAAAAGAAATTCGACCCGGGTCCACAAATCTTCCAAACTTCCTCGTTGTTTTTATTAAATTATTTGCTTCCAGATTTTTTCTAGTTTTGTCGTGGGAATAAATTTCGCCTGTTTTCCGTTCGAACATGGGGAAAATACATGAAAAAGGCTTTTTCGGAAAAAAAAAGATCAAAATTAGGCCCCCAGGTGATTTTTCGAAAGGCTAGAGAGTACGGGAAAAATGGATAGCGCCAGACGTTCAAAAAGAACTTATCGAAAGGCTAGAGAGTACAGGAAAAATGGGGAGCGCCAGACGTTTAAGAAAACTTATCGAAAGGCTAGAGAGTACGGGAAAAATGGAGAGCGCCAGACATTCAGAAAACTTATCGAAAGGCTAGAGAGTACGGGAAAAATGGATAGCGCCAGACGTTCAAAAAGAACTTATCGAAAGGCTAGAGAGTACGGGAAAAATGGATAGCGCCAGACGTTCAAAAAGAACTTATCGAAAGGCTAGAGAGTACAGGAAAAATGGGGAGCACCAGACGTTTAAGAAAACTTATCGAAAGGCTAGAGAGTAGGGGAAAAATGGAGAGCGCGAGACGTTCAAAAAACTGGCACTCTCTTACTTTCCCACACTATTTCATCCGTTTTTTCTCATGTTTCCAATAATAAGAAAAGTAATACTTTCTTCAAATCGTCAAAGGCTAGAAAATACAAAAAAAAATGGAAAAAAATTAATTAAGGCCTAAAAAAATCTGAGCGAGTAAAAATTTGGTAAAGCTGTACATTTGAGGCAGTGAATATGCAGTAGAAAAACCGTAACAAGAAAAAAATCAATAAAAAAAATCTACATGATGACCATAAGATCCTCAAAAAACAAGATTAACAATGAAAATGACGTCATCAAGTCTCCATGACGTCATCAGCTTTGTCGAGTTCGAACATGATGGAAATGTCTCCGATGGTCCAGCCACGTTCTGAAATTGAATATTGATGAAAATGAATGTGAAAAGTAGGCCACGGCCGTGAAATGCAAATAAAAATACAGGGGGCTTTAAGAGCGTAAACTGGAGCAACGTTCGGAAAAACATTTTTTTCAGAGGAAAATTTTTTTTAATGTAGAATTTTTTTTCGGATTCTCAATGGGGCATATTTTCTATATAGCTATTTCCGTCATTTGCTCGAAACTCCGAAAAATTTCATGTATTTTTTTTTCATTTTTGTCATTTTTGCCATTTTCCCAAAGGTTGAATTCTCAAAAAAAAAACTTCCTCTACTCGGGAAATTTTTAGTGGTCACTTTAGGGATTTTTGAATTTTCAGAGGACACTGTAGTAGTAAAATTCCGAAAGAAGTAGCTTCACAGGCAGAACCTTTTTTTATTATTTTTTTTCTGAAAGTACACTTTCTTGTTTGCGCAACCCCCTCCTCCCCTAAACTCTATCTTTTGACTTCTCGAAAAAAAGCTCTCTGGTTACCATGTTTGGTGAGCTTCTGCTTCCTGGCCATCTCGTAGATGCTGTAGTCGATGGAGTCCTTGACAAGGAGATGGTAGACGAACATTTCCTTCGTCTGGCCGATTCGGTTGATCCTGCCGATGGCCTGGGCGACGAGGGACTTGGTCGGGCAAGGGTCCAGGAAGATGATGTGGTTCGCTTCGGCCAGGTTCAGCCCTTGGGCGCTTTGGATCATCGAGCAGAGGAGGACCTGGAAATTGAGAAAAAACTCCTGCCAATAACTTCATTCTGGTCTTAAGCGTCAACTGGAGCAATGTTGAAAATAAAATATTGAAATTTAGAAAAAAAAATCGTTCCCTGTTCGAAATTCGCTGCTAATCTTCAAATTACGCTGTTTTCATTGGGAAATTCAGCGAAAATTGAAATTTTTTCGCATGCTATTAGGTTCAGCGTCAACTGGAGCATCGTACTTTAAAAATATTCGAAACCGGAAAAATGATTTTTCAAGTCGAATTTCGCTTCTAATATTCAACAAAATGCCTCGAAACTCGGAAATATACGCATCTTTGACCCGAAAAAACCAGAGTAAACTGAAAATGTTTTCGCGTCAACTGGAGCATCGTACTTTAAAAATGTTCGAAACCCGGAAAATGATTAAAAAGAGACATTTCAAGTCGAATTTTACTGTGAATCTTCGAAGACTTGAAACCTACAAAATTATGAGTGGAAAAATTAAGAGCAAACTGCAAAATTTTTTCGTATGTTACTAGGTTCAGCGTCAACTGGAGCATCGTTCTTTGAAAATATTCGTGCTAACATTCAACAAAATGCCTCGAAAATCAAAAATATACGTATTTTAACCCGAAAAATTCGGAATGAACTACAAAAATTTTTGGGGTCAACTGGAGCATCGTTCGAAAAATTTCGAAACACAGTGACAAAAGAAACAATTTCTAAACCAAATTTTGATATTTAAAAAAAAATGTCCAGAAAATTCGAAAATATGCAATTTTCACACAAAAAATCAGCGAAAACTGGAAAATCGTAGTAAAAATATTTTTAACGTCAACTGGAGCGTCGTTTAAAGCAATTCGAAACTTCAAAAACAATGAAAGAAAAAAATTCTTTTCTTCAAAAATTGGCTCTTGTGTGTAAACTGGAGCCTCGTAAAATAAAACATTTTCAAACCAGGCAATCCGGATTATTCCTGAACATCGCTATGCACCGTGGGAACGGCATTTGGTTCGAGGAGATGTAGGGCAGCTGAAAAATCGATAATCTAGCAGAAAATCTCAAAAATCGATAAACCGCCGCTTCTTTGAAGATATTCTGGATGTATTTCATGACGGTGCTGGCTTTGTTAACTGTTGTGAAGACGATTATCTGAAATTGATGACGTCACTAATTCGCATGACGTCATAGAAGAAAAACCTTGTTCATTGGATTTTCGTGGAGGATTTTTCGAATGAGAACAATCGAGCGGTCAAGCTGGAAATTGAATTCGAATAAGGTGGGGCGTAATTTGGAACATCGTTGAGAAAATTCGAAAAATCAACTTTTGACGGGAAAATTGGCCCGTTTTATGATCTTGGAAGCTTCTGAGCTCGAAGTAATTCTATTTTTTTTTTTTCAGAAAAGGGTTTTTTTTTCAAAAATTCCAACTTTATTCCTTCCGCAATCGTTTTAAACTTCAAGAATTTTTTTCCGAGTAAAAAGAGTGGTCCCTAAAGAGGTGTCGGGTCTGATCTTCAAGCTTCTAAAACTTAAGGGGTCCCTTGAGGGATCTTTTAACTTTTTGTCAATTTAATGAACACTGTTAAATTTTTCATTGTTAAGAAAAAAAAACGCTAATTTGAAAATGCTTCTCCTCATGGAGTATATAAAATTAACCGACTAGCATGTCCCTAAAAGGGCCACTTTTGCAAGCTTTAGTGCGCCGTTCAGGGGAAGGTAGAGAGGTCCCCAGAGGGGTTCCTTCAAAGGGTCCCTATGGAAAAAAATCCTAACCTTTGCCGAAAGACTACGGCCTTCTATGGTGGTTCCAGAAAGTTCGGACCTTTGACGGACGTTGGAAACAAGGCTGCTGTTGAATTTGGCGCGACACACGACGCACTGCGTTTGCGGGCCGAGATCGGTTGTACTGAAGTAGAAATAAGCACAAAATTATAGAATTTGTTTATGATGTGTATTTTCTTCAGTTTTCGTTCCTATTTTTAGATATATCAATGAAAAAAATGTTCTTTGTGGATGAAATGAATAATTGAGCTATGTAAAATCATTTGAAATCAAATTTTAGAAATTTCAAAAATGATCAATTGTAGCAATACATCGCGGTTTTTAAAATCTCTAAAATCTGAAAATTGATCCCAAGTTACTTATTCTAAATTTTCCTAATGAACCTGAGCGAATATCTTTCTGTATAGGAACCTACTCAAACCATTTTCGACGCTAACTAGATCAGAAACATACTTGGAATAACCTTGGTTCGGCCGCAAACTGGGGACTTGACAAAAAAATTAAAAAAAATTTTTTTAGGTGTGCGAACTGAGATATTTCATTAGATGCACTATTTATAAAAAAATTTCTTCAAATCGAAAAAAATCATTGTGGCTCCGAGGGGGAGGGACTTGGCTGACGCCAGGCTTATTCATTCCATGTATGAATCAAAAATCATGAAAAACGCACTATTTTCTCTTTTCAGATTTCGAAAAAATTGCTCCACTGGCTTCTCTACGTCTCTCGCTTTTCCACACTCTCTCACCTCCTCAAACGACCGTAGCACACTTCACAGACGACATGGGCACACGGGTAGACGACCCATTGGCCGATGATTTTGTTCAGGCAAATCGGACAATCGCTGTCCGATCGACCCTCTTCGCTGAAAATTTTTCATTTGGAAAAAAGTACACAGCTTATTCACGGCTGGCAGCCATGGAAAAAGGGTCTTGACACGATAAAAAAAGACAGTGCCCGGTGGGTGGAGAGCGCAGACAGGCCACGCCCCCTTTTGCGCCCAAAATAGCCTTGGATCGACTACATAACAAATGAGCTGCGAAAACCGATAGATCTTTGAACTTTGAAAAAATAATATATGAAAGCTCATGCTTCGCATCTCGTTTCTCAGAAAAAAAAAACGAGAAAAAACGCCTAAATTTATCAAAAACCATATAGTTTTCGGAAATCATGAGTTGAAAAAATGACTCAAAACTAGTTTTATTCTGTTTCCAACGTTTTGGAGTAGGTCAGTGAAACATAAAAATAGCACGGCAACATGAGAGGGTCGCCGAGAGACCAGGAGGGCGCAGAGAAGTTCAGAAAAAACGGACTCTCCTCAGACAGTCTAACCTGTCTGCGCTCTCTTCTCTCTCATTTATCAGCTCTAGGGGCATAAAAAGGCGCAAAAAATCATACGTTTACAAATATAGGCTGAAAAAATAGAAAAATGAAAACTTGGTAGCCATGGTCATCATATATCGGAGCTCATTGATCAGCTTGTCAGGAGAAAGAGTCGAACCGACCAAAGCGGCGATTATGTTCTGAAAAGGGCTTTTGAAGGAATGTCATGGTGATTTCCAACGTCTTTCAGTTGCAAATCAGACGTGTCGAGCGGGAAAACCCTTCCAGCCGCGGCGACGGTCATTCCGTGCTGGAATCGCTGCGTCGATTCCCGCAGCTCGGCTCTGAATCCTAGTTTCTCTCTAAGGGATCAGATGCATCTCATTTTTTTTTAAAGTTAATACTGAAGAGGATTTTTCCAAATAAGGACCAAGTACCTAGGGCGGCTTCGAAATTATTTCGTGAAATATGCAAAATGAAGGTTTTTAAAAATTGGGTCCTGCAACGATAATTTACAAAACTGGGAAAATTTTTAGTGGCCACTATAGTAGTCAATTTAGTAGCAACTTAAGGGGTTAAAAATTAGTGGCCCCTATAGAGATCTAAGTGCTACTACTAGACCACTAAAAAGTGATCATTTTAGGGGTCAATGGATCAACATAACTGGTCCAATTGGTTTTTTTTAAAGTTATCAGAGTTACTGGAAGGAATATTGGATGAAAAACTACTGAAGTGGCCACTAATTAGAGAACCTCTATAGTGGCCACTAGAACGGATAGTAGTGGCCACTATAGAGGTAGGTTTAGTGGCCACTTTAGTGTCCTCTCCAAGTAGTCCATGGCGAGCCTCTACAGTGGCCACTGAAAATTCTCCCAGTATAGTGTATTTTACGGTAGCTCTTACGCGCGAATTTGAAATTTTCTTTCAAAATGCCCAATCCGTTTCAATATTGGAGTTTCGAAAATCTTCCGGGATCCCAATTTTGCGTATTTCGTGCGAATCGAATAACGCGTCGATTTCGAAATCACCGAAATGGATTTTAACAAGGTCAACAATTTAGGAAGGTTCGAGAAGTTTCATATCTTCGAATTCATCAATGAACCGGAAAAAAAAATGAAGAAATTGGAAGGTCTTAAAAAACCAAAATAACACTTCTTCGCTTCAAATCCATTTTTGAAACGAGTCCATGCGCCTTTAAAAAAATCTTCGGATAGACTTTCCGGATTCTGTAAAAAACGAACACTCTTTGAGAGAAAGACGTCAGGACGTTTCGAATGATCCGCAGCAGCTGCATCGTGCTGTCCAGCCTTTGAAAATACATACAGACAACGCTAAAAATACAAGGTTATTCCAAAAATGGAAATTTTGTGAGACTTGAAAGCGTAATCGAGTTGGGAGCGGGATTGTTCAGTGGATACTCGGAAAAGTTCTCGGAGAAGGACATAAATCGATGAATGACGGTAGGTTTCGCCAAGGTGAACAACTCCAGCGACGTGGCCGAAATAGGACAGGTAGGTGGAGAATCGGCAGATTGCACAGGTAGAGGTACTGGAAAAAACTCTTGAAAAAAAAAATTGAAAGAGAGGCTTTATAAAGGGCAAGAATATTTTTGAGAAGAATGTAAGTTAGTTTCAATAAACTTTTTATTCATGCGAAAACGATTTTTTTCCTTCTAAATCGAAATTAAATTATGGGTAATTTAAAAAAATCAATTATATAATTTATTTTTTTATTTTTATTCCGAGTCTTTTTTTGTTTGAAAGGGATTCGAACTTGAGACCCTTTTCATTGTAGTCAAGGCCACAAACCACTAAGCTACGAACGAATTTCTAAAAAATTCAAAATTCCGAAGCTCCTACGATTTTCAGCGAATGGAACAGGTGGAGGGAGGTACTGTGAAAAAATATTAATTTTCGAAAAAAAAAGTCCGGTAAGGAATTTCTATAGATCAACTTTGTATTTAGAGGCAATTTATTGAACTTTTTTGAAAAAATCGCGATTATCCGTAGAGCAACTTATCCTTTTTTCAAGCATTTTATGAATTTCTAATCGCTATTTTTTCTCGTAAGTGCACTGAACGCGGAAAAACCTATGAATTCATTTTTAAAAAGAGCTTCGAACTTGATAGAAAAACTCGAAAACTCACTGGAAACCCTCAAATTTCTGTTTTCCGAGAGCGTGATCGCAATGTGACATTTCGACGATTTCCGGATTGGATTGATCCAAAATGAATTCTCCCGTGGTCAAAGCCTTCTTCATTTCTTCCTAAGATGAAAAAAATGATCACCATTTTCGATGTTCGTTTTGAAAGCTGGTAATGTAGGAAAGTCCAAGTTTCCAAAAAACTCTGAATTTTTCCCACAATTATCGCAAAACTTTTAAAAAAGCTTTAAAGGAAGAATAATAGCAAAATTCTACAATTTATTGAATAGAAATTTTTTTCGTATTTAAGACGTTCTCAGTTTCACATGGACTTTTCGAAAAACCTGGTTGAAGAGCTTAAAGGCATAGGGGCAGTAAAAAATGGTATTTCAGGTGAAAGCAGTATCTTATACAGTTTTTCTTTGCGAATCGAATGGTGTACTCAAAAAAATTACAGATGTGACAACTTTAGAAGAAAAACGCAATTTTACTTTCCCGCCTTTAATTTTGAAAAAAGCTTTGGATCGGTATGCAGACAACTGAGTACAGTAGCTGTGCACGCGATGTTGCGGACGTCTCATTAGACTCGCATTTTGTGAGAAATAACCGGCTATCTGCTTCAAATTAAGGGTTTCTTCTCTGAAAAACCGATTAAGAAAACAGAAAACACACATTGATAATAAAGAAAACACAAATATTCGCTATCCCAATCGAAACCTGTGTAAAATCATCATTTTTCACGAGAAAAGCTTTTTTGCGATCAAAGTTTGCAAATTATACATGAATAGAAAGCTTTTGTGACGAAAAGAACTTTGGGGACAACAGAAAAAATTGAAAATTGAAAGAAACGAAGAAAAAAGCGAAACTGCTAAAATTGGCGGAGCCTGTTGTCCATGGAGCAACTTTACTGCAAAGCGCCCTTTTCGCGGGAACTCAAACTTTCCTCCCTCCGGCTTTGAATTATTTTTTCTCCAAAACTAGGAACTTCTGTACGTTTCAAAGTTCACCGTTCGATTCGCAATGAAAAGCTCTACAAAGAACTGCTTTCAACTGAAACACCGTTTTTTACTGCCCCTATGCCTTTAAAGGCACATAGTGTACTGTAGTTCGTAACAGGACTTGATTTACCTTCAAAAAAAAGATCCTACAGTAAGTTACAGTAACACCCAAGCTCATCTCGTTGAAAAGATACATTTCTTCGAAATTTCTTCAGTGAAGTTCTTAAAATGTCCTAAAACCTGTCTTTTCGGTTCTACGACAAGAGTGAGTTTTCCATTTTCGAGGAGTACTGTATGCAAAAATGCGCATTGCGTGCATACACTTTGCGTGTTTACACTTTCGTTGCGTGACGTCACCGGGTTTTTGTTTCCGAGTTTTTTTTTTTCGAATATTTTTTTCAATTCAATTTTTGATACTGTTTTTTTGATCGTGCGAATATCATGATGAAAAATGTTGAAAAAAAGCGAAAAATATTGAAAAATATTCGAAAAAAAAAAACTCGGAAACAAAAAACCCGGGGACGTCTCGCAACGACAGTGTAAACACGCAAAGTGTATGCACGCAATGCGCATTTCCGCATACCGTACTCCTTGCAAATGGAAAACTCGCTCTTGTCGTAGCACCGTCTTTTCTTTATTTACCTAAGTCTCTTTTAAAGTTTATCCCAAAATTAAAAAGACTTTCTTTCCTTAAAATGAATCCCCCTGGATCTTTCCTCAAGTCTCTTATAACATTAGCCCTTTTTTTTTTTTGAAATAACTTCCCCTTGATCTTTTCTGAAGTCTCTTCTGAATCCGAAAGTCCGTCAATTTTTTATAAATTTATCAAAGTCCTTTTTAAAGTATCTTCTGAATTCCCCCTTCTGTCTTTTCCCCATGAATTCACCTCGCTAAGACACATTGCGAGCCGTAGAAACTCCATAACTTTCTTCCGAGTCATTTCGATCTTGTCGAGTTGTTCAGCAACAGCTTTCAGCAAATCTTCGTCGTTTGCGAAAACCGGCCGAGATTCGTCAATTTCCTTCTTTTTCAGTGGCGTTTTTCCCTGTTCCCTTGATTCAAAGTTCAAAATCTCGATCGGTACAAGATCCTGGTATCGGGTCTTTTTCAGTCCATCGAAGGGCAGTCGGTCCATCGTTTTGCTGGAAAGATTAGAGATTTTTTTGAGGAAGAATAAATTTTGACATTTTTCTATACACGAGTAAAACCTCAGATAAAGTTTAAAAAGGACAAGATGGATTATTTTTTTAAATTTTTTTACGGGGTAAAAATAGCTTCTTTTTAAACTCCTTTTTGATTGGAATTTCATGAAAAAAATGAATTTCTGTGAACAAAAAGTGATTTTTTTCAAGTTTCTTCAAGAGGAAAAAAAGCCAAGCTCATTCTGATCAACGTTTCATGAAAAAAATGATCTTTTTGAGGTCAAAAATTTTTTTCTCAGATTTTTTTAAAAATTGCAAAAAGTTTCTTCTAATCAGTATATTTCAATCAAATTTTTCAAGAAAAAAATAAATATTTTTTTGAGCACAAAACTGTTTTTTTATTTTGAAAGGTGAGAACATTTTTTTCAAATTCTTCGCATTTTTCAAGAAACTGATAGTTTCAACATTTTTTTCTTTCTATTTTTTTGGATTTATTTTTGGCATTATTCGTTTTGAAAAAACTCTTTAAAAAGAACCTTTTCCGATAAAAAGTCATTAAAAGTCACTCTGGACATTTTTTTTTGCCAGAAGCCCCTTCATCCGTCCTTTTGGAATTTTCACGCTGTATATTTTTAATCCAGCTTCTTGTTTTCTTAAGAAGTTTGGAGAAACTCCAGAGAAATGACATTATATTGTCCTGATAACCCTTTGTTATCAATAGCTTTCCGAAATTCACCTCAAGGGACCACTATTGTTGAAAAAGGTGGCCAATCCTCTGGTTTCAGAGACGTTTGAATCGTCTAGACTGTCCTTGAACTGATGGAACGTGTCGAGCATTTTGACGATCTCTTCCTTCGGTTCACAAGTCAGGATTCTCTTCACGACTTCGAACTTAATAAATTATTTGACTATAGACAATGTTTCCCGACTTGAAAGGGGAGGGAGGCGGAGCAAGGGGCAAGAAGCGTAGCGTGTGCGTTCGCGGTTCTTGGCGCCAGTTCAATTCAATCGCTGCCGACTATTTAAGAGTTTCGGCAACCGCTCTTTTTCTGTAATTTCTACTATTTTTTGATGCGCATATGAAGATAATCAATAAATCATTAAAAAAGAAGTGAAAAGAGCGATAAATAAGTTCTCTGAATGCTCTCTCGCGGTTGAATTGAACTCGTGCCAAGAACCGCGTACGCACACGCTACGCGTCCCGCCCCTTGGCCCGCCTCCCTCGCCTTTCAAGTCGGGAAACATTGACTATATTCGGTGACCTTTTAAAATTTTGATAGCTATAAATGATGCAAATGCTATCGAAAAAGATCCACATCTCGCAAAAAATTTTAAACTGAAAATTCGAATTTTTGAAAGACTGGGACCGTGAAATAATGCGAAATTGTATAGAAAATGATCAATATCTCAAAAAAAAAAATTCAAAAAAGTCTCAGTCAAACTATAGTCTATTCTATGGCAACTTAAGAAGACATAGAAAAACGTCTGAACCTCTTCTTTTTGCACACTATCTCGCTAATCGCTTAGAGACCCTCCTTATATCTAGGACCCCCTTAACGGAAATCGTACGTTCCTGAGCGATTCTAGGGATCCCTTAAGAGTTCTGACGCCGCTAAAGTGGTCCCTAGAAATGCTCGGAAACGTCCGGGGCGCGTCCTGTTCGCATTACGAAGATCAAAGTTAAGTCAAAAGAGAAAAATTGAAAAAAAATTTCCGAGTTGAAATGATGGAAAAAAATCACTTAATTCACTAATTAGCGACGGAGCGCACAATCCTCAAAACCTCTGCGACCTTTTTTCGTTGCTATTTTTCTAAAAATTAGCTCAAATCAAACCTCTTTCTACAGATTTTCAACCATATACTGCTTTTTTTCAATCTTCTTGTATTGTCAAATTTTTACGCGGCTCAAAAAAAAAAAGACATTTTCGCCCCATCGCCAACCTCGCCAGAATATTCAGCAAAACTCCATCTTTTGCAGTGGGCCGCCCATCTCGAAACGAACATTTGGATGGCTCTTGTCTGAATTTATTCATTTTTTTGGGGAATAGCGATTTTTTCAGAAACCTCAACACGACAGTATCTGGCGGCCGCGTTGGTGACCATTTCTTTCATCAGATCGCCACTTTTGTCAAGGATCGTTTCGGCATTCTTTTTGGCCAATTCAGAGCCGCTGTTCCTCACTTCCAGAAGGTTACTGGAGAATTTCAGTACTGCCTTTTTTTGAATGTTCTCTCAGTTCAAAACAGAAACCCAGGATCAATCCGTGAAAAAATGAGCGAAAATGGAGAAAAAATTGAAAAATATCAGGAAGAACCTTTCAAATGTGCAACTGAACTTTATATGAGAAGTTTCCGGAAAATAATTTTTAATCCGCAATTTTCTTCTTCCTGAACTCTTTCTCTGTAGAAAACTTGTGCGTGAAACACAAAATGGCAAAAAAAAAATTTTTTTTTCTCATTAGAGCGCAAATGCTCCTGAGCAAAAAATTATTTTTTCTTCTTCTTTTCTGCTGTATATTTTAGGTTACCAGTCTGTCCAGATTTTGTTCAAATTTTCGAGTTTTGAGCGGCTAGCTCCGCCCCCGTGGTTACTTTCGTGTAGATTTATTAACGCGCGTGACGATGGTCCTTTAATAGCGCTACTTTTTTGTTTTGACCTAAAAGTCAAAAAAAGTCAGAAAGTGCAGTGTTATTAAAGGAACATCGCGCGATACAATATCGACACGAAAGATACCGTAGCCCGGGAAATTGGAAACTCAATCTCAAAATTCAAAGTTTGGACAGACTATAGCCTATTCCGCGCCAGCTTGTCACATTTTTTTCGCAAAAAACTACCGTATACCAAACCAGATCAAGATTGACCCCGCTTCGCTTCAAGACCTTTGTTGTTTTTTTCAAAGGTGGCGATCTCACGCGGACAAATTGTATATCCTTCGAAACTTACTGGTACATGTGAACTAGTAAAGGAGCATCGATCCGGACCGGTTTCCGCGCATCGCGATCCGCCGTCGCCACAAGCTTTTTCAGCTTTTCCTTGGCTTTGATCTGACGTGCGTCTGAAAATTGATGGCTAACTTCAAAAGAAGCCCACAAAACTTAAAAATTAAAAAAAAAACGGAAAAGTTTTTGAAATTGAAAAAAATCCGAGAGAATAAGGAAAAAGTCTCTATCAATTCTCAATAGAGCGCAAAGGTCTTTTTGTTCCGGTTTTCAGTGATTTTCATTTTTGGGTCGCAGAGCCACGCCCCTTTCTTTCAGAAATCGGAAAAAAAGGGTTTAGGATTGGCCCCTAAACTCCTTAAGCTCTTAAGTGATCCCTATAGAGGTCTTAAAATGTTTTGTTACGGTTTCAAAGAGAAATCGTTTTTCAATGAACATAAATCAAAATTTCATATGATGTTCCGTGAAAGAGTTTTACAAAACGGAGCAGGTCACAAAAATTTTCTGCGCCTACGTTGCAATTTTGTCCCTCTAGGGACCACTAGCATGCTCTCCTAGATAAGACTCTAACTGAAACTCTTCTTAGGACCATTAGATTTATCCTGTAGGGGTCACTTTCGCAAGCTTACTGGGAAAGTTATTAGTGGCCACTATAGGGTTTTGACGGTTTAGTGGCCACCATAGTAGTCAAGTTAGTGGCCACTTAAGGGGTTAATCATTAGTGGTCACTATAGAGGTTAAGTGCTACTACTAGACCACTAAAAAGTGATCACTTTAGGGGTCAATGGATCAACATAACTGGTCCAATTGGTTTTTTTTTAAACTATCAGAGTTACTGTAAGGAATACTGGATGAAAAACTACTGAAGTGGCCACTAAAACGGAAAATAGTGACCACTATAGAGGTGGGTTTAGTGGCCACTTTAGTGTCCTCTCCAAGTAGTCCTTGGTGAGCCTCTATAGTGGCCACTAAAAATTTTCCCAGTAATCGGTTCTTTTGTGTGTGTTTGGGGAAAGTGGTCCCTAGAGAGGTGTCTTCAAGGGGTCCTCACCCCTATAGGGACCACTCCAGGGGTATTGAGTTAGTTTTTAAACCGACCCAATTTTCTCGTCTCTCCGACCGTTTCGACGTCTTCCCCCTCTTCTTCCTCCATTTCTTCATCATTCTGATTCGAAATATCCAAAATCTTCTCCTCAAGGTCCTTTTCCTCAGTGTCATCGATACTTTCGTCCATCAGAATCTGCTCGTCTTCGTCCGGGACTTCTTGCAAAGCTTCTGAAACTCCAGAAAACCACTGAGAAGGGCGATTTTATACAAACTGGCGGCGATTTTCGCGTGTCCGACGTCATTTTCGTCCTCTTCGAGCTCATTTTCTTCAACCTCCGATATGGGTCCGAGGCATTCGGCGAAGCTTTTGTTCAGTTCGCCGATTTTCTTGAAAATAATTCATTTAGAAATGTTCTTTATAGGATTAAAACGTGAAGGGATATCTCAAAAAAAGGAGGAAAAAAATTGGAAAAAAATCGCCCAAATTTTTTTCCCGACTCAAATTCATTTCATTGAACTAGTAAAATTGGAAAAAAAGAGCAAACTTATTGATTTATGAATCCTTTGGGAAACTGTGAAGTTATTTCGTATATTCAAAAAAAGGTATAAAAAAATCCTGATGTTGACTTAAAATCATATGAGAACATTTCAAACCTGCTCAAAAAGTTTTTTCAGTTTTATTTGAAACTTTTTTTACAAACTAAGGTTTCTGTGGAAAATACGATGAAAAATCCAACCTGGTCCAGCTCAAAAAAACTTTCGAATAATATCCTGGGGCGAATTCCGGCTCCCCCATAGGCCCAATAGACGCCGGCAAGGGCTAAAAAAATTTTTTTAAAATCTTTTTAAAAAAATTTTTTTAAACCATTATACATGCAGACAACTTCGCGGAGCCGATCCTGGAGGTCGGTTTTCTTCGATCGAATCAGTTTCTGAGGATTAAAAATTCTTTATATTCTATTAAAAAAATCCGAAAAAAATGAACCTTGAGAACTGTAATACCACTATGGCCACTGTCCAGGAGTTCGCCCCGTCCAAAAATGTGTTCTCCTCCTGGAAATCGATTTTTTCTTCAAGTTCCAGTTATAGTTAACCAGTGAGTAAAGTGTCCTTGATGGCGTGAAGGGAAGTCAGAACTTTTTCCCTATAAGTCGGCCCCAAATCGCTGAGCAGAGTGTCATTTCGTTTGTTCCTCACTATTTCTTCTGGAAAATTTCTTGATAGTTAAAAATTTTTTCTGTTATCACGGCGTTCTTGTTAGTGGAAAAAAATTCGAAACCAAAAACACGGTGGGCGGAGCCAAAATATTCGCCGTTCCCACGTGACGTCATGGGAACGGCAAAGATTTCGGTTCTAAGAGCGTAAATTACAGGGCATATTAAGGCGCAGGCCGCCGTATTGGCAGAGGTCTTTGAGACGAATAGGAATTTTTTCTGCGCGAAAGCGGCGCAGTGCATGCACACGACACACGACACTTGACGGAGAAAAAGTGGGCGTGGCGTCGTCGAAAAAACGCCGTGTTATAGCTAATTCTAGCCTGTAACGTTCAGGGGCGTGGCCGGTCTGCGCTCTCCACCAACCGTACACTTCCTATTTTTTATTATCGTGTCAGGACCCTTCTTCGACGGCTCAAGCCAATCAGTCATAAATTCTCGTTAATTTTTTCCATTTTGTAAACTCTCAAAGTTAAAAAAAACCAAAACAACTGAAAGAGAGAGGATAAGTGATCCCTTAAGAGGTACTGACGTCCCTAAAGTGTTCTTTTAGGAGCGTGGAAAAACGGCTTTTAATTCTGAAAACCCCCACAAAACCCACTCAATTTGGCTCGAATCTTGCTGATTTCCTCCTTATACTGTCGCTCTTCAATGGCCGTGAAAGTGATCTGCTCCACGATCTCATTGATCGGCGGCAATTTCATCTAAAAACGGTTTTCCAAACTTTATCCTCCTGTCAACCTGATCAATAATCGATAATTTGGTGTTCCTCCACATGATCTGGCTCAACGCCGCCATCAAAGGTTGGATATGGCCGGGAAGGTCGGGAAGGTCAACACTTTCAGAAAAGACACCGTTGAGCTTCGCCATGTGGACTATCCAGGGTTTCCAGAGGTACCTCTTCCAGAATGAATCGACACAGTAGGGATATACCGAGAGATAGTACAGAAGGCCGTAGATGTCTGAAAGGAGGAAGGAAGGTACACTTTCTTCAAAAACAAGGTCATTTTATTTTGCGGTTTACTGTAAATTGGCCTCGAGTTACGACGCTTCAAAGTTTGCAAAATACGCGAACCATGACAAAAAATGTTGTTTCAAGCTTTTGAAGCGTCACAACTGAAAAACCAGATCTATAGCGAAAAATTTTTTCTTGTTCTAGGTTGAATAGTCTCGGTGGGATTTGAAAAAAAAGGGGAGACTTGGCGAAAATAAACCAAAAAAAAAGAGGGGGCTTGGCAAGAAAAAACTAGAAAACGGGGGGGAGTGGCTCTCGCCAGTCAACTCAAGTAATCTGCAATCATGAAATTTCATCAAAAGTTCAAACGGAGGTAGAAAAAAAAGTTGTTTCAAGATTTTGAAGCGTCGCAACTCGAAAACCAGATCTATATCGAGAAATTTTTCTTGTTCTGGGGTGGATAGTCTCGGTGGGAATTGAAGAAAAGGGGGGTGTCGCCAGTCATGCTCATCCCATGTAATCTGCAATCATGAAATTTCATCAAAAAGTTCAGCCGGAGACTTGACAAAAAAACGAAAAAAACGGGGGGCGGGGGGAACTTTTTTTCGAAGCTTGCTCGGCCCGAGCCCCAAAATGCTTTTTCGCAAAAATAAGACCCGGAGTCCGGGCCCCGCCCAGCTGAGCCAGTTCAAAAAGAACTGAAAAAATTTGGGTCGTGACGAGTCGTGACCCAACTTAAACACATTTTTTCCCTCGATTTCCGATACCTTCCAAGCTTTTGACCAAGGGCGTTCCGGTGATGCACCACTGAGCCCTCGACTCTATTTTGGCGCACATTTGGGCCGTTTGTCGCTTGAAATCTTCCACCGCTTGGGATTCGTCTATGCAAACCTCAAAAATAATCATTATTTTTGAAAACTTCTAATGAATTGACGTACCCTCCACCACTTGATATGGATCAACGGCGTTGGGACGTAGGAAATCCTGGCCCTTTTATTTCTTATCGGTCCTAGAAATGATTCTTTTTGAGGAAAAATGTTTAAAATTGAGAGAAATCGCATCCCTTCACACCTGTCAAAAGTATTACTTTTTTTTTCAAACAAAAATCAAAAATTATTGAAAATTAAAGAAATTTTGAGCAAAAATTGAGGGTTTTGTCCGTGGAGCGCATTTGCATTGCTCAGGCTGATTTTGCAAATTATCTGCAGAATTTGAAGCTTTCTGTGCTCAGAATTTGGTAACGCGCCCCGGACGTGTCTCAGCGATTCTAGGAACCACTTAAGGGTGCTGGCGACGTTTAAGTGGTCACTGGAAATGCTCAGAAACGTCAGAAACGTCTCCGGTTTCAAGGTCCCGGTTTAAGCAGGCTTTCGAATATTTTGTCGGTCGAGCGCATTTGCCTAGGGATCACTCTAGGAATCACTTAGGAATACTGACGCCGCTAAAGTGGTCACTTGAAATGCTCAGAAACGTCCGGAACTTCTCCGGTTGCAAGGTATCAATTTAAATAGAGATTTGAAGATTTGGTCCATGGAGCGCATTTGCCTTTCTGAGGCTGATTTTACAATTCATCTCCGAACACTGAGATTTTTAAGTCTTCAATGAAAGCCTAAAACTACAAACTTTGAAGAAACTGTCCTGGAAAAAGGAAAAAAAAAACAGAGACATTCATTTTTTGTTTTTTTCTTTGTTTTAGAACTTTTTTACTGATTTTAAAATTGCTCCCAATTTTTTCTGATTTTTTTTTTTGATTTTTCTGATCTTCCTCTTCTTTTTTTTTTCCGCACTATTCCTGATTTTTTTATCCTGAAATTTTTTGGCGACTCACTCGTGTCCTCGGTCCTGTCAGCGTATCGGAACTCCCGATTAAGTGTCTCATACGTCGTAATCACAATGTCGAATTCGTTGAAGGCCTGCGGATGCATGAAACCGTGGTGCCAAAGTCCATAGTAGTACTGGAAGAAAACATTTAAAACCCGAAAACTTCTTCTTTTTCAAAAAAAAAATCCTAGAAGCTGAATTTATCCATTCACAAACATTTTACAGCTCATACATCTCGTTTTTTTTTTTGACGACGGCCCGCTAATATTTTTTCCGTGAAGTGTAGTGTGTCGTGTGCATACACTGCGGCGCTCTGGCACACGCCATTTGTTTTTTTTTTAATGAAACAGGAAAATCGCGTTTTTTTAAAGGATTCGTCTCGTGACCCATTAATGCGCCTTTTATATTTCCTGTTATTTACGCGTATTTCCCATGACGTCACATGGGAACGGCGGAGTTTTTGACCACGCCCCCTTAATTTTTGGTTTTGCATTTTTTTTTCCAATAACAAAAATGCCGTGCCTGACAAAAACAAAAATGCCCTGGCCTTTGCGGAAGGAACGATAAAAACACTTAATTGACAACTTGGATCCTAAAAATCATAATAAAACGTCTTAATATTACTTTTTCCAAAATAAAATGAAACTAGAAGCTGATTTTATTAATCAATCACGATTATCAGAAAAATGAGAGAGTGCCTGGTTTCTGGAGAGCGCAGACAGGCCACGCCCCTTTAGCGTCTCAAGCTAGCAATAATTCAGCTATACAGTTCAATAAATCGATGGCGCTTGCCGAAAAATTCTGGCTTTTTAAGTGATCACTTAAGTAAGACCACCTAAAGAGCCACTTAGAGCCTTTAAAAAGGCAAAAAAATTCTTTAATTGGCCACTTGGATCCTAGGAAAAGTTGTTAAAAATGCTTCGTTAAAAAAAGATATGGAAGCAAATTTTTTTGCAAAAAAAACTGGATATTTGAAGCGGAGACTTAAGAGGCAAAAAATCCCTTAAACGACCACTTAGAACCTAAAAAACTCTAAAAAAGCGAGAAAGGCATCAAAAGCTTGGCTAAAAAAGCCATAAAATAAAAAAATTATCAATAGAGCGCAAAAATCTCCTTTAACTATAATTTTCGAAATAAATTTTTTTTTTTGAACCTACATATATAAACTAATCGAAGGAAGGGAGAATTTTCAAAAAATGATACATTAGAGAAAAAGGAAGGTTCTTGGATCACGCAAACAAAGCCGCGACGCGACCGCAACGCTTCCCTCAAAAAACTTACCATCACTTTGAGGTTGGCCTTTCGGGAAATGTGCTTCTGGAGCTCCTCGTACCATTGACTTGTCAAAGATTCCGGCACAATAATCAGAGTCGTTTTGATCTCTGTTGAAGGCTTAAAACGAAACAAAAAAATATCCTTTTCTGAATAAATTGTACCTTTTCAGTGATACACTGAGGACAGTAGAATGGACCTTGAAATGACGGCTTCCAACTGAGCTGAAACAGGAAAAAATGTGAAATACCATATATTTTTATCGAAAAATGGGAAGAACACAACAGCTTCATCGAGTTGAAAATAAAAGTAATAAAAAATTCTTGGGCCGCCATTTCCTTTAAACTTTGAGAAACTCTCCATTTTCCAGTGGTTATTCTTTGGAACTCTAGAGTGGTCATTAAAAGAGCAACCTTAGGAGCCCTTAATGGTTACCCTCTAGGGACCACTAAAACTTCCAAAAGTGGTCCCTATAGGAGAAATGCTAGTCGTTTTTTTTATAAACACTTTGAGAAGTTCCACATATTGGCGTTTTTTAAATAAAATACGATCAAACTTGTTTTATCAGATATAAAATCTGGAAAAAAAAATTAAAAGACCCTGTAGGTACGAATTCAGGGTCTCGGGGATCATACCCTAAACCCTATAGGGGCCACCTAAACTTTACCCCTGAAGGGAGCACTTTTTTGTCCCGATCAGAGGCCATTTATTCCTATAACACCTATAGGGTCCACTAGAGCTTCAGTGGCTCGAGGGTCAGACCCTAAACCCCACAGGGGCCCCTAAATTTGATCCCTTTAGTGAGCACTTTTCAGGCCCTAAACCCCTAAAGGGACCACTTAAACTTTACCCCTGAAGGGAGCACTTTTTGTCCCGGTCATAGGCTATTTATTATTGTAACCTCTTAAGGGATCACTCGAGCTTCACAGGCTTGGGAAATCTGACCTTGAAAGCTCTATAGGGACCACTTAAACTTTACCCCTGAAGGGAGCACTTTTTTGTCCCGATCGTAGGCTATCTATTCCCATAACCCCTATAGGGACCACTTGAGCTTCAGAAGCTTGGAAATCAGACCCTGAAGCCTTATAGGGACCCCTAAATTTGATCCCTTTAGTGAATACTTTTTGTCCCGATCAGAGGCTATTCATTCCTACAACCCCTATAGGGTCCAAGAGAGCTTCAAAGGGTTGGGAATCACAAACTGAACCCCTATAGGGACCACTTAAACTTTACCCCTGAAGGGAGCACTTTGTGTCTTGATTGGAGGCCATTTATTTGTAATCCCTATAGGGACCACTTGAGCTTCAGAGGCTTGGGAATCACACCCTAAACCCCTATGGGGACCACCTAATTTTGACCCCTTCAGTGAACACTTTTTGTCCCGATCAGAGGCTATTAATTCCTATTACTCCTATAGGGTCCACTCGAGCTTCAAAGGATAGGAAGTCACACCCTAAACCCCTCTAGTGACCACTTAAACTTTACCCCTGAAGGGAGCCCTTTTTGTCCCGGTCAGAGGCTGTTTATTCCTGCAACCTCTTGAGGGACCGCTCGAGCTTCAGTGGCTCGAGTGGTCCCTCAAGAGAAGTCAGACCCTAAACCCCTATAGGGACCACCTAAATTTTACCTCTATAAGGACCACTTGAGCTTCACAGGCTTGGGAATCACATCCTAAACCCCTATGGGGACCACCTAAATTTGATCCCTTAAGTGAGCCCTTCTTTGTCCCGATCAGAGGCTGTTTATTACTCTGACCCCTATAGGGACTACTTGAACTTCAGGGGGGGGGTTGGGGATTTGACCCTAAAGCCCTATAGGGACCACTTGAGCGCAAAGAGCTCGCGGAAACAGACCCTGAAGTCCTATAAGGACCACTTGAGCCTAAAGCGATCGCGGGATCACACCCAGAAGCTCTACAGGGACCACTTGAACTTCAGAGTCTTGGGGAATCTGACCCAGAAGCCCTATAGGGACCCCTAAACCCCTAAAGGGACCACTCAGGCGTCCCTAAGAATTTTTACCAGGACAAGACCCCCAAAATCACCTTTTCAACATCGCAATACGAGTTACATTCTTCACACGGCTTCCCTCTCTTCGGAGTCGTCAAATAATCGTTCGTCGTTCTATTTTCCCCACTGGATCCTGGTCTTTGCTGGAAAAATATCGTTAAAAAAAAAGAAAAGCCCCTTAAAATCGATTTTTGAGGATTTCTGATGGAAATGAATAAATTAATTCGGTTCTTAACGATCTCCAACATCGAAAAAAAACCAAATAAAAAGTGGAAATAGTATTTGGGAAACAGAAAAATGATTTAGAAACTTGATATGGCACATCTTGGCCGCACTTGGAATGGCTCGAAGCGTCTGAACAGAGTAAAACTGACTTGAAACCGCTTTCTTAACTTCTACAGCGCAAGTCGGTTTTGGTCGGTCGCACGCATCGAGCCATTCCAAATGCGGCCACAAATTTTCAAATTTTTATAAGATCATCTACTTCTGAAAAAGGTCTCTTAAGTGGGTACTTCGATTCAAGCAAAAAAAAAAAACTACCGAAAAAGTTCTTCCGACCTTAAAAAAATGATTTTTTTCGCGATATAACTTTGAAAAAAATATTTTCTAAATTGCCCAAGTTAGTTATTAAAAAAATTTCATGTTTAGAGTTTTTAATTCTGTTCTGAAACGGCAAACTAACATAAATCCCCTCTTCGCTCGGCTCCCGTTGCCTCGACTTTTTGAACACGTTGGCTTGTGATACGGAGGCTTCACTGAAGGGAAAAATGTGTAAAAAAATGACAAAATTAACAAAAATTAAGGGACAAGGAAGCATACAAAATCAATATTTCAACAGAAAATTGACCGAAAATACGTAAATTTTTCAAAAAAATCTCGAAAAAAATGCCAAAAAAATTTTTTTCTTGCGATTTCATTATAAATTTCTGTTGAAACCGACTTCTCATCGTCGTCCTCCAAAATTTCCACTTTGGATCCCATTTTCAGAGTTGTCAGCAAGGCAATGACTTCCACAGTTTTGCCCAATCCCATTTCATCCGCCAAGATTCCTCCTAGAAAATATTTTTCTCATATTCTCTCTCTTTAAAAAACAAACCCGTCAAATTAAGGATGGATTTGTCGATTTGAGAAGTTTTGCAGAAAACGCCGAACATTTGGAAGTAGTACAAGGTTTCCTGGTCTGTGGTGACTCTGGAAAAAGTATTTTAAAAGGAAAAAAGTACTGTCTGGGAATATTTTTGGTGGCCACTGTAGAGGCTTGCCAAGGACTTGGAGAGGACACTAAAGTGGCCACTAAACCCATCTCTATAGTGGCCACTATTTCCCGTTCTAGTGGCCACTCCAGTAGTTTTTCATCCAGGATTCCTTCCAGTAACTCTGTTAATTTTAAAACAAACAGATTGGACCAGTTATGTTGATCCATTGACCCCTAAAGTGGCCACTAAGTGGTCTAGTAGTAGCACTTAGACCTCTATAGTGGCCACTAATTTTTAACCCCTTAAGTGGCCACTAACTTGACTACTATAGTGGCCACTAAAACGTCAAAACCCTATAGTGGCCACTAAAAAAATTTTTCCAGTAGATTTATAATAAAATAATTTTTTTCATCTGAAGATATCGTCTAAAAAAATCTATAAAAAAATCTCAAATTATGCAGATTATCAAGGAAAAAAATCCCAAAAGAAAATCATTTCAAAACCCATAAAAAAATGAGAAGAAAAAGAGCAAATCCCTGTCGGAAAATAAAAATATTTTTCAAAAAAATATTAGTTTTGTTTAATAATAGCCGCACTTATGATAGCTCAAAGAATGGCGGCTGTTTTCAGTTTCGCCCGACCCAAAACGACTTACGCCCTTTGGCATCGGAAAACATTAGTATCCTTCTAATGACGTCATAACACTGTTTTTTTCAGGGAAAAAAAGTATAGAAAAACGTTTTTTTCATCAATCAAGATTCATAAATCATTTTTTTATAAAAAAATTTTTTTCCAGAAAAATCATAACTGCTCGAAAAAAAGAGGAAAAATCTGCGTTTTTCCCATTTTTCCTATAAAATTCAATTTCTCCATTCCAAGACCCTTTCTTTTTTCGCTCACTAACTCGACAAAATCGAAAAGTCCCTCGATGGGTTCGATCTGAGGATCGAGCTCCCGACCAATCATCCACCTTACTGCTTCACGTTGGTACGGCATCAAGTTGAACATCAAGTCTTCTTCCCTAAACCCAATACTTTCTAGATATACTTCATTCGTCAGGACTGGAAAGAGTCTGACATGTCTGGACCCTCTTTTATCTCACCGGGGATGTCATAGAAGCATGAAAACAGGACGTCAATATGAGAGGGTAGGCGAGAGAAGGGGAGGGCACAGAGAAAAATACTCTCACAAGCGAGGTGATAGAAGCATGAAAATAGCATGGAAGAAAAAAGAGAGCAGAGAAAACAGACGGCTATCTTAGGAGCTCCAGAGTGGTCCCTATAGGGGCAACCTTAGAGGTCCTTGGAGGGTCCCCTAGGAACCACTTTACCAGCCCCTATAGGGGCCACTAAAGCTTGCCAAAGTGGTCCCTATAGTGGACATGCTCGGCGATAATTGTTATAAACTCTATTAAGGGAGCTTCAAGGGCTGAGGGGCCACCTCAATTCCACCCCTATAGGGACCACTTTTCGACCCCTATAGCGGCTCTTTGTCTCCCTAACCCCTACAGTGATCACTCTGGGGCCCTTAAGCTGCAACTTAACACTTTTCGAGTGTCTGCGTCTCTCTGTTCCCTCCACAGGTCAGAGAAAAGTGAAAATAGCACGTCAATAGGAGAGGGCGCAGAGAAAAACAACAAATATAGTCGCGATAATGGACCTTATAGCTTTGTTTTGAACAAAATCGACGACTGGGAAAGTCTGACATGTCTGCGCCCTCTTTTCCCTCACCAGCGAGGTCATAGAAGCATGGAAAAAGCATGAAAGAGAAGAGGGAGCAGAGAAAAAGAAGAATTTTGAATTGACTATTTTTAACCCGGTTTTTTTTCCTGTAACGGTTTTTAGTCTGAAATTTTGATGATATTTGAACAAAAGACGTCAAAAATCAATAAATTTCAAACCTTATCGATAACTTCTTTTTTTCTAAAAAAACTAGTGTTAAAAAGGGTTAGTAAAAAAACGCAGAAAAAAACTTTTTTCCTCAAAAAATATATATTCTCAGGTCTTATTGTCAGTTAGAAATCAAGATTCTTGAAAAAAAAATTTTTACAAAAAAGTTCATTCACCCCATTTTTCAACATTCACCCACCTGACAGCGTATCGCAGCGGTTTCGTCCGCATTTTCGAGATTTCATTGTAGAAAACTTCGAAATTGGCCGCCGACACGGATTCGCAACAATTCAAATCGCCGCTGTGCCAACTTGCAAAAGGAACTTCCAACTAGAAATATGAGCTAACATGAGCAATAAGTCGCAATGTTGAGAATTACCCAGTCAAGTTTTTCGGGTTGAGTCGCTTTCAGGACGACGGGAAACACCATGACCGCCTTGTTGACGGCTTGGGCCACCTCAAAAAAGAAGATTTGTTTAGTGGCTAGGGTAATAAAATTTCGTGGTAGGACCTTATAAATAGACTTTTTCGGATTTTGAACTTTTCCTAACCTAGTAAACGTCCTAAAACACACATAAAACGGCCGTCCGCCTCGAGGCCTTTTTTCAAAATCAACCTATGCGCCTTTAAAAATTTCCGAGTTTACTGAACGGACTTTAGGCTTCCGGTATCATTTTAAAAACAGATTTTTGATCGAAACAAATATTCCGAGTTTGGAGTTGCTAATTACTGTATCCAAACTCTCATAATGTTTTTTGGAGATAGACCCTTAAGGGACCACTTGGTTCATTCTCCAACCTTTCCATTGAAAATAGCACTCTCCAGATTCTTCATCACGGCGTCGTAACTCAACATGGCCGTCAGAAACATTCGATCTCCTTCAAGGTGCCAAAAAAACGCCAGCCCACAAGCGTTCATTGTTCTGAAGCCGTTTTTTTTCTTTATTTTGGGGAAATTTTGCTCGAAAATTGACGTAATGAAACTATAACACACATTTTCCGGTGATTTCTTGTAAAAAAAACTATTTTTTAAACATTTTGAGCTTTTGAATAATGAATTCAGCTTCTTTGCTGAAAGAACGTTGCCTTATGAAAATTTAATAAATTTTTTGAACTAAAAATTTAAAAAAAAACAGTTTTAATTTTTGATTAATTCTTCAAAAATACTGCTAAAAAAATTACTGTAAAACTACTATTTATTTCTTAATTTTTCAAAGAAAAACCCCTTTTTAAACCCTAATTTTTCAATGAAAAGAGATAATTATCAATGGAGCGCAAAAGATCTAATGTCGATTTTCTGCATTTTTTAAAAGGTTTTTTTCTAAATTTGAACCACAACCATCCATTTCAATAGTTATTTTCCTAAAAACAATCATTTGGAGGTTATTTTATTATAACGGAAATTTAAAAACTCCAATTTTTGGCCTAAACTGAAATTCTCAAACTTTCTACAGCTCCAGCTTTTAATTGCATTTTTTCTTCACTTTAAAAAAAAACTCAAACTTTATATCCCAGCTGGTGAGTATTGAAAAAGTCGGTAAAAAATCAACGGCGGCGACGTCGAGATCGATGAAATGTTCGACGAAAATGTAGCTATTATAGCCTTTCCAGCGAGATTTCAGCTTCTTCGCTTCACTCAAAGGAAGTTCGAGATAGGCCTTCTCGAAGTTCTGGAAAAGTTGAGCTCAGAACTTCAGAAAAAGCTTCAGACTCGATGATACGACAATATTTTCCTTTTTCCAAGGAGTACTGTAAGTAAAAGTCCGCATTTGGGGTGGTTGCACACTTTGTGGGCATCTCCCCGTTTTTTTTCAGTTTTGTCCAAAATTTTTCTCGACAAAGTCTATAGGAAACAGTTGACTTACTGGGAAAGTGGCCACTTAAGAGATCCCTCAAGAACCACTCGGAAAGGGGCACTAAAGTGGCCACTAAAATCACCTCTATAAAAGCCACTATTTTGCTTCTTAATGGCCACTTAAGAAGTTTTTAGTGGTTCAGTAGTATCACTTAGACTCCCAAAAAGTCCATTAATTTTTAGTCACTTAAGAGGCCATTCATTCGACTACTATAGTGATCACTAGAACTTTAAACCCCTTAAATAGCGCCTTAAAATTTTCCCAGTACACCAAACATTCAGTCAGACTTATAATTTAAAAAAAAACTGAGCTTTTTTTAAAATATAAATGAAAAAGGAGGACCACTCAAATGTGCAAACACACATAGTTCATACACCAAATGCGGACCTTCACCTACAGTACCCTTCAAAAAAGAAAATCCCCTTGCCGTAACACAAATTCAGACTTGCCTGCGTTCCCGACCTGCCGACGTGAATAAAATCTGTTGATCGGCTTTCAAGAATTTTCCTTTGATTTTCATCGGAAATCCGGGCGATTGCAAAAGTTCCCAGGAAATAACTGTTAGTTAAGGAAGAAATTTGGCATTTTGGTGGAATTTTGAGAGAATAGGACTGCGGCAGGACCTGTTGAAAAAGAATAGTTAAATATGTGATTTGAAAAAATCTCATTTCCAACTAGAAATTTTTCAGAAAACCTGTAATTATTTTTGAATTTCGAAAACTCAACAAGATTTCGATAATGGAACTAATTTTAATTGAAAAATGTCACAAAATAGCGCAAAAAGAGTTCGAAAAATTCTAAAATTCAGGTTTTTTATGAATGAAAACAACGGGAAAAACTAGAAAAAAAAAATCGAAATTCAAAAAATCACTAAAACTTTAGTTATATAGAAAGAGTTCAATCCAAAAACGAACCTTTTTTTGGAAATCCTCAAAACTTTCCACGGTATAACTGCTTGGTTTATCCATTTATGTAGAATTCGATAAGAATATTGTAATAAAATTTTTCTAGACTAGAATTATCTGAAAGATATTGAGCAAACTGAAGTGAAAAATTTAGTTTAAAAGAGGATTTTCCAGTGAACTAAAAAACGAAAAATGACTAATTTATAAGTTTCATCATAGAAAACGTCATTAAGATCGGAATAAACGATAAAAAAGCACACGAAATGCAGTTGACCAGCGAGAGGAACGGGAACAGCGAAGAAAGATGAAGAGAGCGCAGAGAAAAAGGAAATAAAGAAAAAAGTAACGTTCGCAGCAATATTTCATTTTTTCATTATGAATTATAAAGGAAAAATTTAAAAAAGTAAATTCGAAAACTTTCATAAGGCTTCATATAAGGAAAAAATCGAGTTTGCTTTAATTGAAAATGTCTAAAATCAAAAAATATATAATAAAACAGTTATTAAACTACCCCACGAAAAATCCGCTAAAATCTCTAAGTTTGTAGTTCTCAAAATTATCGCAGAATCTCAAAAAAGTAACAAAGCTATTAAACTTCAATTTGTATTTGATAGACTTGAAAAGCGAACAGGAATAAACAAAAAAAAAGCAAAAATTCGTGCTCGAAACTGGGATAAAAAGCTCAAGGAGAGAAATATAGACTGAAGAACTTTAAAACTAGTGAGTACAATCCGTTAAAAAATTTTAATTTTGTTCAGAAAACAACTAAAATATAGAAGACAAGGAAATAAACAAAAAATAAATAAAAACAGCTGATCGAAGGAGAACGCAAATTTTTTTCTCTGGGTCTCTTACGATAGCTGTGCACGTCATGTTTGCACACCGGCGTCTATCCACATGATCTCTCCTCCGCGAAAAAGAATTGCTCTCACAGTTCATTTCCAATTATTTTGTTCTCACCGTGTTCCGCTTATCCTTTGTCTTTGTATGTATCAGTTCCACCCTTGGTTTTGGAAATCGGCTGGTTTTTATTGCTCAGGGGCGATCTTTCCGATTTTTATCGCCGATTAAAAATTGCTATAAATTTCGCAACGTCGTTTCGCTCTTTTTCTTGCAAGCTTACGTCTTTTTTCGTTGCTAAAATTTTTTTTTGATGTATCGAATTGTTCTTTTGATATTATATTAATTTTTTTCAGGAAAATATGGATTTTAAATCTTTGCTCAATGCAGCGAATAAGAACGCAAAAAAGGCGAACAAAACGCTGAATGAACTGGAATCGGAGGTGCACAAGGAGAAAAACAGTGTCCGGGATCAGTTAGAAGCCGAAAAAAGGGCTCGAGCCGAGATTTTGAGGCGGAAAGCCGAGCAGAAAAAGGCTGCTGACAAGAGGAAAGAAGAGGAACGGGCTAAAGTTGGTATTTTGGATAGAAATACGCGTGAATTTTTGAAAATTATGGTTTTGCTGCTTTTTCGTAATCGCTTATGATGTTTCCTACTTACCTGAAATGATAAAAATGAAAGAACATGAAAAATAAACCAATAAAAAGAATAACAACATTGCAAAACAAAATACGGATTTTCCTTTGAAATCTCGATTATTTTTCAGAGTTTCGTGATCCCGAAGAAGAAAGACGAAGGGACAGTGGATCCGAACAAGGTCAAGGCCTATTTCGAGCGGCAAGAGCAGGAGAAACGCGAAAAAGCCAAACAGGCAGAAGTCGAGAAAGAACGGCTGATGAAGCTCAGAATGCAGGCGCATGGCGGAAAGGTAATTTAAAAATAAATTGGAAGGTAAAAAATATATTTTGAGGCGACGAAGAAGCTCGGGAAGCATTTCGGGTTGAATCCGATCGATTTGCAAATTCGCTTCGGCGGAAACAATGAACATGTTGAGACGCTACAGAAACGGCAATGGAGGGAAGAGGTTCGTTTTTTTCTCTGACTCTTCAAAAATTCAGTTATCTTTTTTTCTTTCTCTCAATGATAAATTCAGTTCGGCGGAATTATTTTTAATAAGGCATTTTTTCAAAAATCGTATTTAGTACAATTTTTAAGGTATTTTTATATTTGTTTATAGGGCATCTTTTTTTAAAAAAATCGTCTACTTATTTGAAAAAAAAAGGTAAAAATTCCAATTACCGAAAAAAAAACCATCGTTTCAAGACCAATTTCGTGAAATTTCCATACCTTTTATGCCGTGTTCAAAGTTATTCCGCGAAATTATCTCTGACTCTCCAAAATTCAGTTATCTTTCTTTCTCTCTAACGGCTGTTTTGGATTTCGCTTTTTTCTACACGTTGTCAACGTCGAAAAAAATTTTTTTTTCTATTTTTTCAATCCGGTTAAATATTGGTTTTCTTTTTTCAGGAAGAACTGGACAGAGAAGCCGATCGGTACCGAAATGGAGTTTTCAAAGCGCTTCAGACCAAAAAAAAGGTCGAAGAACAGGTTTCGTCGCTTTTTTGTTCATTATATAACTAATTTCAGGTTAATTTTGTTGAAAAATTTCGAAATGAAGAGCTTTTTGAAGGTTTTTATAGTTCAAACGGTTGTATAGTCAATGTTTCCCGACTTGAAAGGTGATATGGGCTGGTTGGCAAGGGCGAGGTGTTGCGTGTGCGACGCGGCTTGTTGGCGGCGAGCCAAAATTCAAATGTGGGAGACAATTTGGAGAGTTCGGCCACCGCTTTTTTTATTTCCTTTTTTTCTTTTTTTCTTATTATGTTTTTTTATAATGTTTTTCGATTTTTATTTCCTCAATGTAATATTGTAAGCGAACACCTTTTTCAGTCTGTTTTTGCATAGAATGTTTCTCAAACGTGCTGCGAAACGTGAATCATTTTCGGAAAAACTTATCGGTGGTTTTTTTGTTTCTTTCGTATTTGCTGAACTTCTCAATTTCAAACCTCTAACATTTTTTTATAATTTTTTTCCATTATGTTTGATTGCAGGTGGTGAGCAGAGAAAGAATGAGTGAGAAGCTATGGTGTTTGAAAGAAAACACTTCGTTGATGGCAAACAGGTTTGTTTCAATTTTTTTGTTGAAATTTCTCATTGTCATTTTTTTCAGCATTTTTATAGAGCGGCATCAATATAAAGAAGTTTTTACAGAATAGATAACTCTATACCTTCTTTTGGACACTGGATTTTTTTGTCGAGGCGAGGTTTCTTGGATTCAGACGGCATTAACGAATTCCACAAATAAGAAAAACGTTCTGTGTATGTATAATTTTTTTCTTGATTTCTACGGTTTAGAAAAAAATGCGTTGTGATGACCTGTTTCTATTTTTCTAACAATATCCTTTTAAAAAAAGGTTGCCGTTTGAAGAAATTTTTTTCATTTGAAATATTTTTGGTTATACTTTTTTTATTGACTTATCATATTATCCGTGTAGTTTCGTTGTTCATCTAACACTCGCTTTAATCATTGTCCACTTCAGCGGCGTCAAAAAGCTGTTTCCGTGATTTAATTCATCATCAATTACTCTCCGTTTCCGTCGATTTATTCTCGTTAGAACAATTTCAAGAACCTTTTAAACAAGTTTATTGGAAGGCGAAAAAAAAATAACAGGTTAGCAAAACGTTGTGAGGATGCTGATGTAGACAGTATAAAAGAGAGACTTCATGATATTCCCTGAAAAGTAGTATTGATTACATAAAGATTAACCTTGAAAAAAATGTCATGTTCGTTAATGTAAAATTTTCGTGGGGAACAAAATATATTTACGAACTTTTTTTTTTAGGAAAAAAAGTAAGTATTAACTGAAAGGATTCTTAGTTATACACTGGAAGAACAGTTAAACCAAAAACAGAAAAAGAACAAAGGCGAAAACTCACAAACCTTGGTAATCGTCCGCGACTCGTTATCTTCTCTCTCCATTTCGAAAAATCACTGCAGAAATCCTGAAGTTCTTCAATCCAGAATGTGAACCGACTCCATGAAAAAAAACCTTTTTTCAAGATTGTTAATAATTCGATAAAATACTTCGCAGCACTCCGAAAATCGTGCTTCTAAAGGTTTCCACTGCATTAAAAGAAAAAAGAATGAATGAATTTGAGAAAAAACCATGAACTTTAGTGAAAATCGCTTCTTGTTGATGTGAAACCCTCGACTTCTGAGTTTTTGAAATTCTTGAATCGTATTTTGCTTTGTCTGAAAAGTATCATCAATGAATAAATACAGTAAAATTTTCACGGCACCGAATCACAAGTAAAAAAATTCATATTTTGCGACAAATGAATGAGCAACGATCAACTTGAAGAAACTGTTGTTTGTGCGAGAAACACGATTATTGGTTCAAATAAAATTCACAGAAGCAAATAATTTGCGAAAACATTATAAAAACAGAATAAGAAAAAGAAAAAAGGAAATAAAAAAGCGGTGGCCGAATTTTCCAAATTGTCTCCAACATTTGAATTTTGGCTCGCCGCCAAATAGCCGCGTCGCACACGCAACACCTCGCCCTTGCCAACCAGCCCATATCACCTTTCAAGTCGGGAAACATTGACTATATTGTAAGCTAAAATGTTTATCCGAGATTTTTTCAAATTTTTCTTTCTAGATTTTTTTGATGTAGCTTAGAAATTTATTAATATTTAATATTTTTTTCTTGGAACGATGCTAATAAGAGCTTCGAAAACTTAATTTTGTTTTTGAGCGATTTCAGGTAATGGTTATTTAATGAAATGGTTATTTAATGAAAAGGTTATTTAATCGATATTTCGCTTTAATAAAAGCGGGAAAATTTTTTTTGTACACGGCAGGGTTGCTCGAATTTCCATCTTTCGCGAAAAAAAAACAAACTTCCTTTTTTCGCGCTTTGCAAAAATAAAAAAAATACGATTGTATCGATTGATTCAGCTGCGACCAACCGTCAAAGAGCCCCACCGAGTTTCGACGAGCAAAGCCAACAGTTTGGCCGGATTGTGCAGTCGACATGAGAAAACGTGGGTTTTCAATGGAATCCTGGGATTTTTGTACCGAAAAATTCGAAATTTTGATAACCTTTTGCTTTAGTTCGGCATTTCGCCCTATTTCGGCTATTTTTTTCCTCTACAAACACTTTTTTTTTCACGGGTATATTTTTAAAATGTTCATAGTTCGATTTTTTTAATGGAATTTTCGATACTTTTCGCCTTATTTTGGCTATTTTTTCGACATTATAAGCTTTTACGTACTTTTTAGTGGCTTTTAATTATATTTCAAAGGATTTTCTGCTCATTTTGGACTAAAAATATGAACTTTTTGTAAAATCCCGCTTTATTTTGGCTCTTTTTCCTACCTCTATGAACCTTCCGGAGCTAATGATATCTCATTTCTCAAATCACCCTTTGAAAAATCCTCTCTCAGTACTTTAAAGGAGCATAGGCTGGATTGAAAAAGGTCTTGTGACGAAGAACCATTTTTTTCGTTTTTTCGAAACAAAAATAGTATAAAAACACTTGAACAACCTTTTAATAACATGAAGCTTTTTTTATCAATAATTCTCCAGTCGAGACCATTTCTCACCGCCCAGGGACAAGGACAAGAAGAAAAAAGAGCCGGAGATGGTCAAAAAGAAGGCTGCTCCAGCTCCTCCCGTCGATTTCAAGTGAGTTTCCGGGTCATTTTTCGAAAAAATGAACGATTTTCAGAGCTCTGATGAAAGCGGCTGAAGATATCTCCCAAGGAAAAGCCGCCCGTGTCGACCTTTTGCAGCCGAAATTGCCGTCCGGGTCCAACAGACCGGATTTCCAGAAGAAGCCGAGCTCTCAGGGTCCTCCTAGGTATTATTTGATTTTTTTGAGACTTTTGGGGTGAAATTGAGATTATTTGGGGGCTATACTTTATTCCAGAATCGCTCTCCACAGTGCTAAGGGTTATTCTAGAATTGTAGGGAGGAGGTTTTCTAGAATTAGGAGGAGGGAGGGGGGCTCCAGAATGTCCAGGCAATCTTCAAGATTCGCCCCCCCTCCTTAACTTTGAACAAGCATTGTAAGCCTTGTCCGGGTTACCATCATCATTTTAGAATCACCCCCCCCCCACACATCATTCTAGGGTAACCCCTTTTCATCATTCTAAAATGACCCCCCTTACCATTCTGCAGTACCTCGCCCCACATCATTCTAGAATAACCCCTCTCCATAATTCTAAAAACAACTGCTCCACATCATTCTAGAATAACACCCCCCTATTACCATTCTGGAATACCCCTCCCCCCTCATTTTTTTAAATAACCGCTACACATAGTTCTAGAAATCCCCCATCATTCTAGAAACTTCCCCTCCCATTGCCATTCTAGAATAAACCCCCCTATTACCATTCTGGAATACCCCTCCCCCTCATTTTTTTAATAATCGCTACACATAGTTCTAGAAATCCCCCCATCATTCTAGAATATCCCTCCCCACATCCCTCTAGTACGAATTATTCAGAGAGTAACCCCCCTTACCATTCTGCAGTACCTCGCCCCACATCATTCTAGAATAACCCCTCTCCATAATTCTAAAAAAACAACCGCTCCACATCATTCTAGAATAACACCCCCCCTATTACCATTCTGGAATACCCCCTCCCCCTCATTTTTTTAAATAACCGCTACACATAGTTCTAGAAATCCCCCCATCATTCTAGAAACTTCCCCTCCCATTGCCATTCTAGAATAAACCCCCCTATTACCATTCTGGAATACCCCCTCCCCCTCATTTTTTTAATAATCGCTACACATAGTTCTAGAAATCCCCCCATCATTCTAGAATATCCCTCCCCACATCCCTCTAGTACGAATTATTCAGAGAGTAACCCCCCAAACCATTCTAGAACGCCCCTACATCATTCTAGAAACCCCCCACCCACACCATTTTTAGAAATCAGTGTTTCTGACAGATTTTGTTCACTCTAATGAAAATAAGTGTATTTTTTTAAAGATTTTTTTCTGAAGATTATGGCGATTTTTCAGACCTCCTGCACAACAATACAATGGAAAATCCGGAAATTCTTCCTCTTCTTATGGACAGAAAGATCATGAAAGAGATAGGGAGCGGCAAAAAGAACGGGAAAGGCAGAGATTGGGAGAGAAAGAGAGGTTTGTCGTTTCAGTGGCTAAATAAAGGATTTTTTTTATTTTCAGAAGTCGATCCTCCCCCGTCTCAAAGTCGTCAAAGCCCAATGGTTCTGTGGATAGGAATAATGCCCCGGATAAATCCTCGAAATCGGCTCAAAATAACGTGAAAAAGGAGGAGAAGCAGAGAAAAGAGTTGGTTTTTTTTATTGGTGGCCCTCAGGGAAGTTTTGGTTTTTTTTTGGGGGGGAAGGGGGGGTTTGGAACGCCTAAGTGGTCCCTATAGGGGTTAGAGAAGAAACCAGATCCTCTACAAAGAGGAGAGGTCCTTATAGGGGTAAAGTTTAGGTGGTCCCTTCGATTTAAACCCCCCCCGAGCTCTGAAGCACAGGTGGTCCCTATAGGGATCAGGGAATAAATTGCCTCTAATCGGGACAAAAAGTGCCCCTACAGGGATAAAATAAAAGTGGTCCCTATAGGAAGGGGGAGTGATTTAGCATGGGACCTCAAAACTCATTTTGTCCTTATAAGGATCAAGGGAATAAACAGCCTCTGAAGGGGACGAAAAAGTGCTCCCTATAGGGGTAAAATTTAGGTGCATAACCCTCAAGACTTGAAGCAAGTGGTCTCTATAGGGATCAGGGAATAAAATGCCTCTAATCGGTTAAAATGGTTGAAATTAAAGTGGTCCCTATAGGGGGAGTGATTTAGCATGGGACCTCAAAGCTCATTTTGTCCTTATAAGGATCAAGGGAATAAACAGCCTCTGTAGGGGACAAAAAAGTGCTCCCTATAGGGGTAAAATTCAGGGGGTTTTTTAGGACTTGACCCCCAAGACATGAAGCTCGAGTGGTCCCTATAGGGTATTTTAATTTCCTGCTCAGATTTGATATATGAAAAGACAAAAATTGATCATTTTTCCTTCAAAAATCGCTAATCTTTGATTTTTTTTTTCTCGCATGGTAATGCTTCTTTTCAGAAGTATATTAATCTGCTAGCTTCCCTATAGGGACCACTAATTTGAACCTCCAAGGGACACATTAGACAAGGACTGTAGTTCATATTTTTGAACAGTTTAAAAAAAACATTATATTAATGTTTTTTTAATGAAGCTGAAATGTCTCGAAATGCTTCAAATTACAGAATTTTTAAGTTTATTTTCCCCTGAAAAATCACTTTTTTAAGCTGAAGAATGTATTTAAAAAAAAGGAAAATTAAAAAATAGAGCGTGTTTTAAAGAAATGGCCTTTGTAATGGATATTGAAGGTAGAAATATACCCTCAAGCTTATTGTTCCTTTTTACAAGGAAGGTCATTTTACTTGTGGTTGGGATTTTCGTTAAATTTGGCCAAAACACTCCTTGTTGGGCCAAATTGGGATCCTGAAAGTCTCAACTTGCTCAATCTTTAAGTTATTGGAAAAAGAACACCTCACAATCAAAGAAAAACCCAAAAACAGGCTTTTTTGAGCCCTTAGTTTTCAAAAACTAGGAAGTTTTGTAGGTTAGAACTTTCATAATCTTCTCTTGGTACATTAATAAGAGTTCTAGACATTTTTATTTTGAAAATGTGAAATTACATTCCTTTTTGAATAATTAAAATAGTTATAATAATTTCCAGTGGTCGATTTGTCAAGGGTCCAACTCCGCCCCCAATGATTCCTGGCATTGTTCCCGGCAAAAAGTCGGTTTTCTTCCAGTTTTCTCACATTTTATATGATTTTCCCCAGTGAAAGAGTATATTTTCCCATTCAGATACCTCCCCGGAGACGTTCGGTACAAAGAAGCGATGTTAATCGCCCAAAAAACCCACCACGTTGAAACTTCGATGTCGAGACCCAAGAATGGAAATTCTTCTGGAAGCAGGGTCGATCCTGGTAATGGTTTTGGTGATAGCCTCGAAAAAAAAAACTTTTTAAAATTTAAAATGTTTTTTTTTTGCGTTTTTTGACTTTTGCAGGAAGAACTGTGTTAATAGATTTGAAAATTCCGAAAAAAATTTAATTTTTTTATAATTTTTTTCTCTGAAGTATTTGGCAGCAGGGAACCAGTTCAAAATTAGGATTTTATCGATTTTTTTAGTTTTTTTGGAGTTTTGACTTAGTTTCGAAAAGGATTATTTTTAAAAAAATCTTAAACTTTTTTTCACGATTTTTTTGATTTTTCGGATGAAGAACTGTTGTGAAACAATTGATAGATATTAAAATTCCGAAAAATTGAGTTTTCAATAATTTTTCTCTGCATTTTTTGACAGCAGGAAAACGGTTCAAAATTAGGATTTCATCAAATTTTCTGATTTTATTTTGGAGTTTTGACTTAGCCTCGAAAAGGATTATTTTAAAAACCTTAACTTTTTTTTAAAGATTTTTTTTATTTTCGGATGAAGAACTGTTGTGAAACAATTGATAGATATTAAAATTCGGAAAAAAATTGAATTTTTCTATAATTTTTTTCCCTGCGTTTTTTTGACAGTAGGAAACCGGTGTAAAATAAGGATTTTTCTCGAATTTTTCTAGTTTTTTTGGAGTTTTGACCTTATATTTTGAATTTTTTTCATAAAGATTAGAGAATTTTTTTCAACATACATATTAAATAGAAATTTTTTTCGATCCAGTGATTTCCAGTCACTTTTTTTGGGTTAAAAAAATTTAAAAAAACGTCAAAAAAAGAAAAATCCCAGTGAAAAGAAATTTTTCCAAATGACTTTGTTCATTTCCCAATATTTCAACGTTTATTTTCAAATGTTAACTCTCAAGTATTGCTAAACGAATTTATATGGTTCGAACTTTTAAAAATTATTTTGTGATCCAAAATTTCAAATTTCATGCTTCAAATAATTTTTTTTAGTCAACCAAGCTGGCAAATTTTTCACCCGAACTTTATCGAACAGAACTTTTGAATATTGAATTATTAGGTTTTTTGTGGCTGTTTTTCCTCAACTCATAACTCAACTCGTGCTTTGAAAAACAAAAATTTAGTTGTATGGAACATTTCTTTCCCAAAGACGATCTTAGAAATACTTTTATCAAAAGTTGATGGTTTCCAGAGCGGGAAAGAATCGAAAGAGTGAGAGAAGCTGAACGAGCCCGTGAACGAGAACGGGAACGAGTTCAGAAGCTGAAAAGAGAACGACAACGGGAGGAGATGTACGGAGCCGAGAAGGTCCGCAGGGTCGAGAAGATGCGATTCGACCAGAGCCGCAAACTGTACTTTTTCCGATTTTTGTCCGAAAATTGAAGAAAAATGAGTTTTTCAGGGAAAACTTCAATTAGAAGTGAAGAAAGCTTGAGAATCTCATTTTGATCAAAGTTACTTAGAAACGCTAGAACGGTCCCTATAGGGGGGACTTCAGGGTCTATAGGGGCGACTTCAGGGGCTCTAGGGGCAGCTTTAGGGGCTCTAGGGGCAACTTTAGGGGCTCGGGGGCGACTTTAGGGGCTCTAGGGGCGACTTTAGGGGCTCCAGGGAGCGGTCTTCTTAGGGGCGACTTTAGAGTCTACAGGAGCGACTTTAGGGGCTCCAGGGAGTGATCCCTATAGGGGAAAATTTAGGGTCTATAGTGGCGACTTCAGGGTTTCTAGGGAGGGGTCCCTGAAGGGGCGACTTCAGGGTCTTTAGAAGCGACTTTAGGGTCTCTAGGGACGACTTTAGTGGCTCTAGGGAGTGGTCCCCTTAGGTACAACTTTAGTGGCTCTAGGGGCGACTTTAGGGTCTCCACGGAGTGGCTTTAGGTTCTATAGGGGAGACTTTAGGGGCTCTAGGAAGTGGTTCCCTTAGGTGCAACTTTAGTGGCTCTAGGGGCGACTTTAGGGGCTCTAGGGTGTGCTCCCTCAGAAGCAACTTTAGACGCTCTGAAGAGTAGTCCCTCTAGGGGCAACTTTGAGGGCTCTATGTCCCTATAGGGGCGACTTTAATGGCTCTAGGGAGTGTTCCCTATAGGGGCGACTTTATTGTCTATATGGGCGACTTTAGGGGCGACTTTAGGGTCTATAGGGGCGACTTTAAGGGCTCTAGGGAGTGGTCCCTATAGGTGAAAATTTAGGGTCTATAGTGGCGACTTCAGGGTTTCTAGGGAGGGGTCCCTGAAGGGGCGACTTGAGGGTCTTTAGAAGCAACTTTAGTGGCTCTAGGGGCGACTTTAGGGTCTCCACGGAGTGGCTTTAGGTTCTATAGGGGAGACTTTAGGGGCTCTAGGGAGTGGTCCCCTTAGGTGCAACTTTAGTGGCTCTAGGGGCGACTTTAGGGTCTCCACGGAGTGGCTTTAGGTTCTATAGGGGAGACTTTAGGGGCTCTAGGAAGTGGTCCCCTTAGATGCAACTTTAGTGGCTCTAGGGGCGACTTTAGAGGCTTTAGGGTGTGCTCCCTCAGAAGCAACTTTAGGCGCTCTCAAGAGTAGTCCCTCTAGGGGCGACTTTAGGATCTATAGGGAAGACTTTAGGGTCTCTAGCGAGGGGTTCCTATAGGGACGACTTTAAGGGCTGTAGAGAGTGGCTTTAGGGTCTCTAGGGACCACTTTTCCTCCCCCTATAAGGGTCACTAAAGCTTGAAAAAAATGTATAGGGGGAGGGGGATCCTCGTCGATTTTTTTATGGACCCTATGAAAAGAAGCATTTTCATGCGAAAAAAATCATAAATTTGACATTTTTTTCAATAGAAATTGATCATCAGAAGATCAATTGATAAAATGCGTCTTTTTTTCAAATCTTAACAAAAAAAATAAGAGATCCCTGTAGGGACCACTCAAGCTTCATGGGCTTTAAAAAGGTCAGATACTCAACCCCTATAGGGGTCACTTAAAATTTACCCCCGGAGGGGCATTTTTTTTTCTGTATGGGCTGTTTTCACCCCTAAAGGGACCACTCCCGTTTTTCTTACTAGACGATGTTGAAATTTTTCAAATTTTTGGTTAACTGTTTCAAAAATTCGCATTTATATTCTCCGTTGGAAGCATTGAAATCCTACCATTTCCTTATCTAGATAACTATATCAAAAAAATTTTGTCCGAAAAAAATCAAACTCATTACTCAGAAAAAAAGTTTTTAAAATGCTGAATTTTTTTCAGCCAAGAAAAAGGAGCGAAACAGAAATCACTACGAGAAACAGCGGAAAGATGATCGCTCCAGTGGGAGTTACTTCCGTGGCGGTGATGATAATACGGACGATGAAGATGACGAAGAGGTCTTTTCGAGCTGAAATCGTGTTGATTTTCACATTTCCTGTTCCAGGACGAGTACGAAAGCGACATGGATTCGTTCATCGACGACAGCGGAGATGGCTTCGATGATCTGGAAAGGAGGGAGTTCGAGGAGACTTTGAGGTTTGTTTTGGGGTAAACCTTCAAGGAGGTCATATCAATTTTGGTTAGAAACTTTTTGGAAATCTTCTAAAATATCCATTGATGAACCAAAAGAAGTATGTGAAAGTGTGAGCCTTTTAAGCTTTCTAGTTTTTAAATAGTTTAAAGCTCAAAAATAGTCATTTTTGACGGATTTTGAGGGTTTTCTTTGGCTTTAAGATGTGTAGGTACTCAATCCATTCGAAAGAAAAGGTTGAAATGCGAAAATTTTGAAAAATAAGACATGAAAGTAGCTTCAAACTATGGAGATGTTGTTCCGGTAGCATTAAAGTTCCCTACAAGCGGGGTCATTTTACTTTTCTTTTGAGAAATTCCTGAAAATTGGTCAGAATATTTTTTGATGTAATAAAAGAAGTATGTGAAAGTTTGAGCCTTCTAATCTTTCTAGTTTTCGAGAAATGAGGACTCAAAGCCCAAAAATAGCCATTTTTGACCGATTTTAAGGGTTTTCTTTTGCTTCAGAATTTGACGGAACTCAATGCATTCAGAAAAAAATTGTTCAGATGCGAAAATTTGGAAAAATAAGGCATGAAAATGACATATTCTGACAGTCACTTGAACAAGGTTTTTTATTTGAAAACCGGTTATTCAAGAATTTTAAGTTGAGATTTTTTGAATAAACCCGATAAGTATAGCTATTATAATAGGCCACGCCCACTTTTTGTGTTAGTGAGGTTTTTTTAGGCTCATATAATCTTATCTGAAATCGATTTTGAAAAAAATTTTTTTTCTGGAAGGCTAAAAAATTTAAAATAGTTGGTACAGCTGTGAAAATACAATGGTCAAGAAGTTTCAAAACGGGTCGATATGTGAAATATTATGATTTAAAAAAAAGACTATCGGCTTTTTGAAGCAAAAATCGAAAAAATTGAATGAATTAACCAAGGAACCCTTAAAAGGCATTTTAAAAGTTAAAAGAAGGATTTAAAAAAATTAAAAGTTGAAAAAGTCTATCTTTGCCTTCCCCAGAACGGTCAACCGACACTACGACACGGACAAATGGTCCCACCGCGAAAAGACGATCTCCGAACGGGACATGGTGTCCAACTACCGACGGATCCAGGCCGAGGAGAACTACAGTAAGAGGGCCGGAATGCGGGAAGACCTCATCGAGGCCACCAAAGGCCGCAGCGTCCGCCTATGATTGCATATACTTGATTGTCATAATAAGAATCTTCCGATTTGATTTTGTCCTCGTCTTGATTTCATTTTCTGTTTAATCAATGTTTTCGAGTGGTACTGCTTGGAAAGAGGCGGAAATTTTGGAGCTTTTGCGCTCTGATGAGAATTTGACTGAACTTTCTTGATTGGATAAGCTTGTAGAATGGCACGATAGCTCACTCTAACGATCGCCTATGCTCTCAGGCGCAAGTCGTTTTGGGTCGGGTGCAGCGCGTTGAGCCATTCCAAGTGCGGTCATTGTCTATCAAAGTTGATTTACTTGGTTTTAAAGCGATATTTTGTGATTTATTCAAGCAGAATTTTCGGCCGTAATTTTTGAGCTAGTGCGCTCCATTGAGAATTGGAGGTTTTTATTAGAAAAAGGTTATTTCCAGAGCCAAAAACCTTAAAAAATCAAGAAATTGAGTCAGTATAATGCAGAAAATGTGTTTTTCTGATTTCACACCTTTTTGACTACTTTTTATATATTTTTTTCAGTCTAATAAGGACATTTTTTTGAATTTTTTTCGAACGCTTTGATAAATCTTTTTAAAAAAACTGAGGGAAAAAGCACCGCACAAAAAAAGTGCGGCCGAAATTGAGGACCATGTGCGCTCCATTGAGAAAATTTTATATTAGAAACATGGCGATTTCAGAAGCCTAAAAACCTCAAAAAATCAGAAAATTAAGTCATTATAATGCAGAAAAAGTCTTTTTCTGATTTTGAGACTCTCACATTTTTGACTACTTTTTTTCCGATTTTTTTCAGTTGATAATGATTTTTTTTTTTGATTTTATTGAAAGATTTGATAAACATTATCATTAGAACAGAAAAAACAGCACCGAAAAAAATGCGGCCGAAAAATGAGGACCATGTGCGCTCCACTGAGAATTTTCAGTTTTCAAACTTTTCCAAGCGGTTTCACTGCCCCTGATTTCTTTCCTATCCTTCTTCTCTGATTCCCTTGATTGTGATAGTGATTTCCTACTTGATTCTCTTTCTTTTTTGGCTATCATTTTTCGTTTTTCTAATTTCAGGAATCTTGATAAATCCGCCTGCTCCATGGACAACCTGCATAACCATCATTTTATGACGAAATTATCAATTTTTGGGCTTTCTAAGGTTATTTTTATTGTCCCTTTAAGGTTAGTCATAATTCGTCTTTTTTTGGGTTTATGTGTTTTTAAATTCCTGTAAGTTCATAGATTTCTATCTATTTTAGTCAAAAATATTTGTACATTTTTGTATTTTTTCCCGTTTTTGAGGTGCTTTCAATTGGAAATATGAAAAATATGGTCGATTTTCTGTGATACTACGAATATTGGGAATGGCTTGAAGGTGGACCCGACCAGAACTGACTTTCGCAAAATGAAACGCGACGCATCGAGCCATTCCTAATGCGTCCAGTACATTTCAAATCATGGCAGATAGTTTTTAAAACTCGAAAAAACAGCTTTTTGTTAAGAATTATACTTTTTAATGACGGAAAATGCGCCCCAAGGTCAAAGAATTTCATTTTATCCGTGGAGCGCAACTGAGTTTTTTTTTCGCAGCTGTTTTTTCACTTTCTTTTTTTTTGAGAGTCATTCCTTTTCCTAATAGTTTTTTATCAGTCATTTTTCACTTATTTCAGTTTTTTCTTTGTAGTAATTCGTTTCAATAATCATTATTCAGTTCAGATTTTTACTCACTGCTCAATATCACACACATCTCTTTCGTTTCGATTGTGAGTTTTTCAGAGTTTTTTTTATTTTAATATTTTTCTTGTCTTTTTTTTGGATAAATTTTTATTTGAACATTTTTTTGATTTCATATGTTTTTGCTGTTGTTTGAACAGTGAAAAATATTTTGGAAATATAATTTTTTTTATGGAATTTTAACTTTTATTGCTTGTACGCTCCGTGGACAACCCCGCCGTTTTACGAAAATTTTTTTTCTGGTTTTTGAACTTTTTTTCTAGTGAACCTTAGGTCCAGAAAAAAATCAAGTTTTGAATGAAAAAAAGAAAAAAATGAGCGAATTGGGTACACGTGGTTTTGCGTCCGAAAATCCCTTTGATTTGAATTAAAATACCTTGAAATTTGTTTTGTTGCGTCTTTTTCGAGGTTATTTTTTTGGTTTTTATAACGAAAAAAAATTGACGAAAAGCATGTGCGCTCCATGGAGAATAAAGCGATTTCTTGATCAATTTTTCAATTTTTTTCATGAGATTGCTGTTTGTAAGATTTTTTTCAAAGGAAGAAAGGTAATTTTTTTGAATTATTGATGATAGGATATATTTTACAGTGGAATGAATCGGTTTTTTTATGAGTTTTATCAACAGAGCAGCCTTGAACGTCAAAAATGGCCGTTTTTTATAAAATTTTTTAGGACAGTGTATCAGAATTTTCATCAGTTTTTCAACTACCCGGCCTGTGAAAAAAGGATAAAAAAACATTTTTCCTGGGCGTTTTGAAACTTTATTTATTTATTATCAATGGAGCAGCCTTGAACATCAAAAATGGCCGTTCTTTATGAATTTTTTTCGAAATTAAAAAAATTTCAGTATCAATTTCTGCTACTCAAGTATTCTGCATGTCAAAAAACTACTATGAAAAGTTTTATCTTTGTTTTTAGCTATTATAGAAGTTTTTTATCAATGGAGCAACCCCAAACCTTCAAAAACGGCCACTGAAAAGATCTCTGGCCCATTTTCTCGTACTTTGTTCCCAAAATGTTCTCTAATCCAATCCAATCTCATTTCGAAGAATCGCCGTTCATTTTTGATGATTTTACCTTCTGAAAACCCACTTTTTGGTCCGAAAATCGGTGACATGGGTTAAAATTTTCTGGGCGTGTTCCTCGCAGTTGAAAGAAAAAAGAGGAAAGAACATTTTTCTTGGATTCGAGCCAAGGTTAACACACTCCAAGGCCAAAAACTCAGAGATTATCCGTGGAGCGAAAGTACCCCGAGAAATTTGGCTATTTTTGAAAAAAACAATTATGGAAAATTGAACTTTTTGGTCATTTTTTTGGATTTTTTGAACTTAAAAACCCCAAAGTGGCCCTTATAGAGGTTGGGAAAAAAACAGTCCTGTAGTGGAGCAAAAAAAGTACCACTTTAGGGTGGGGGGACCCCTGAGGATCCCTGTTTCATTTTTTTGAAAGCTACAACCAAAATTGATCTTTTTTTCAATCAAATAACGATAATTATCGATTTTTTTCGCACGGTATGCTTCTCATAGAGTTCATGACAATAATCGACTAGAATTTCCCCAAAGGAGTAACCAACTAAAGCCCCCCTTTAAAGAAGGTAAAGTGGTCCCTAGAGGAGGACTATCAAGGGCTACTAAGGCTGCCCCTATAGGGATCACTCTGGTGTTTCAAGAAATTGAAAAACAACTAACAATTAAAATAATCGATGTTAATTTCTAGAAAACCATTGAAAGTTCAAAATAGGATGACTTCCTCATTGACGTCATTTGTCTCAAGTTTAACTTGCTGGGAAATAGAAATGCTTCTTCTCAAAGAGTTCCAAACAATAATCGACTAGCATTTCCCTAAAGGGGCCACTAACTAAACCCCCCTTAAGAGAAGGTGAAGTGGTCCCTAGAGAAGGACCTTCAAGGGCTACTAAGGCTGCCCCTATAGAATATACTCGACATGAATTTCTAGAAAACCTTTCAAAGTTCAAAATAGTATGACTTCCTCTTTGACGTCATTTGTCTCAAGTTTAACTTGCTGGGAAAAATATTTGGCGGGAGAAATAGCGTTGGGAAGGGAGATAAACGGGTCCGTAATGATCCCACAAATCAGCTGACCCGACGGCGAGAATTTTCCCTGTGATTTTTAAAGATACTTCTGTTTGCGTTTTAGTTGTGATATGTAGAACATTTCTCGTTATTTCTAGATTTTTTTTTTCCAATTTTTTTAGAAGATTTGATCGATTTTTGAAGGAAAAAAATAGCGTTTTTTTCAATGACTTTTCTGCAAAATTCAGCTTGAATAACGGTAATTTAGTTCAATTATGGATAAAAGTGCAATTTTGAAAAAAAAAATTGAATTTAAAAATTGTGCCTGATCCTCAGAATCCAAATTTCTATATAACTTTACCTCATTTCGATACTTTTTTGACTTTTCGAAATTTCGATTTCTCGTAAACTTTTACTGTTCATCTTTGGTTGAACTTTGAACTTTTCCCTTCTTTTTTTTTGACGGACTTTTCTCAGTTCTCATTTTTTCGGCATCAGTATCGATTTTCCGTGTTTCTCTCTAACTATTGTCATTCTGTTTGAGATTTTTTGAATCGCAATATCGGCTTTAAATTGAATTTAAGAATAATTTTTTTTTTCTCGATACAAGGCCCTTCATTGTTCTTTTTGTGTCTTTTGTGTAGGGACCGCAGACCAATTTCCAAAGTCAGTGATATAAAGTGAAACCTATATGAAAAGAAAGTTGATGGCAATCGAAAGCTAACTGTGAAAACAGAAAAGAAAAATATGAAAAATGAAAAAAGTTATAAGCAAAAGAGTGGCAAAATCGGGGGCCATTTTTTTGTAGAAAAAAATTTCGTCAGGGTCGCAGTAAAAGGGGCGTGTCTATAAATACCGCGCGCTCGTTGCTGCGCGTAAATTCACGCAGGAGAAGTTTGGAAAATACATTAATTGAGAATTTGAATGTGAAAATAATCAAAATGCAACGAAAAATGACGTTTTTCGACCACTGAACTGGGCGTGGCTCTGCGGTCCTTATTCGTGTGATTCCTTATAGAAATTACAAAAAAATTTCATAATTTAAAGGCTCTAGCTGGATATGGAGGCTGGGAAAAGAGGGAACTTTGATTTTTAAAAAAATATTAACCTTGAAGCAAAAAAAGAGCAAAACACAGGCGAACAAGACGTGTCGGCCCATTTCTAGTGACCACTTTAGGGTCAACACTCTTAAGTGATCCCTAGAATCTCATAGAAACGTCCGGAGAATTTTGAATAAAGACAATATCTCTGTTTATCTTGTCCCTAGAGCGACTCTGTTTCAGAATTCATTGGATAGCTCAAAATTCTATCCGAATCATCTCTCGATACTAATCCGTTCCTTTTTTGCTTGCTGTATCTTCTGACCAGGGAACGTTTTTTTGCCCCCGCCCTGCCCCCCGGTTGAAATTTTTGCTGAAACTTTGCTGAAGTGTACTTTAGGACCCTCTGATTGCAGAACAAGAAAAAAATGTCTCGCAATAGATCTTGTTTCCGAATTATGGAGCTTCAAAGTGTGCAAAATACGCAAATTAGGCCAAAAAAGCGCTATTTTGAGCTTTTGAAACGTCCTAACTCGAGAACGAGATCTATTGCGAGAAATTTTCTTCTTGTTCTAGAATCAGGAGGTCTTAAAGTACACTTCAGCAAAGTTTCAGCAAAAAGTTCAACGGGGGGTAAAAACGTTCCCTAGTTAATTAAATAAATTGAAAAACCACCAAAATCTCCAATTTTTCAGGGCTATAGCCGAACCCCGGGACTAGGAAAAGAGGACAAATGAAGCAGGCACTCCGGCTGCTGTCGTCGAACCCCGTGGTGGTGCTGGGCGTCCGACGACAGCGGTTTTCTTCCGTTTTGGACAGGACTTCCAGAGGATTCCTCTGCACCACCACCTTCGTCCAGCCAAGGAGGCCTTTTGCCGTCGCCGTCGATCAGAGTTAGTTTCGATTTTTTTTAGCTGATCAAGGGGAATTATACTAGCATTTCAATGAAATTTTGAAGAAAAAATGGTTCAAATGTTCGGAAAAATTATTCATTTTTTCTCAGTAAAACGGACTTTTTGAAGAGTATTTAAATTCCAGTAAACCATAAAAAATCACCTCTAAAGCTCAAATTTGAGCTTTTTTCGGAATTTCTGCAGTTGACTTTGCAACACTCGGACAGAATCGGAAAGGGTGGAAAATGGCCGCAAAAAGGGCCATAAAAGGTCGCAAAAAAGTCTCTCTATCGAGCTTTCTGGGATTTTAAAGGCTCAAGAAATGGTGGAAAAAGGAAAAGGCAGTAAAAAAGGGTGCATAACAGCCGATTAAATGGCTCAAAAAAGGAACCTTTGTAAAAAAAATTGCAAAATTGTAGCTTTTGTCTAGCCTGATAGTTCATGGAACTTAGGAACCCCTAAGTGATCCCTATAGGGTTTAGTTTAGACCGCTAAGCCCTTGAAGCTCAAGTGGTCCCTATAGTGGCCTCTCAGTTTTTTAAAAATTGAAATGAAGCATTCAATAAAATCCTCGGTTCATATCTTTCATCCAAAAAGCACCCCTTTGAAAGTTTTAGGGGAAGGTAGTGATCCCTAAAGAGGTAACTTCAAGGGCCCTTTGCCCCTTTAGGGACCACTCTCGAGCTACTACTCATCATTCAATTCTTCTATTCTAGGTTCACTTAAGATAAAGAAAAGAAGATAAGCCGAGTCATAGGGCCAAGACTTATCAATGGGTTTAGTGAGGAATTAGAGCTGGATTATAGTTTTAAAAGGTTTTTTGACGATTTCAGCGCTTTTCAGACCAAACCATGAGAGCAAAGAATGACTTTTTCATTGGAATTTTTGAAATTTTTGAATTTTCAAGTTTTTGAAAGGAATGGAAGCTTGAAGAGGGAAAATCTTGAGGCTGTGTTAGAAAAATCGGCTCAAAGAACAATATTTGGCAATTTCTATATGATGGGTTTGTTCTGTGAGGATGAGATTTTTAGATTTTTCCGAAGAAAATTGGAAAAGTTTTAATTTTCTGAATAGTTTTTGAAACCTTCTTAAAGTAATATTTCAATACCGAACGGGTAACGATAAAGAAAACTTTTTTTTGAGTGCTTTTTTTAACTTCAAATAACACAAAAAAAAAACCCTGCAAGTTTTAATTTTTTACCCCAATAACCACTAATCTTAGAATTTTCAGTAGTCCAAGTTATTGAGAAGATTTTTTTTACGTTCAAATAGTTATTTTTAAAAAAACCCACAGCTAAAAATAGCCATCGAACCCGGATTAAAAATTCTATAATCTTGTATTTTTCTTGAGAAAGGAATGAAGAAGTGTGAAGCGTTTAGAGTTTAGTCCTTTAAGCTGTTTTTTTGGTCTCGACTATTTTCGAAAGGGAAGAAGGAAATAAAATTTTATATAAAAGATGAAAATATTGAATTGACAATAGTTTGGTTCATTTTTTTGTTTTGTCATTTTTTTCTGGTCTTATTTCGATATTTCAGTCCTTCCCTTAAAGCTTGTCAACTCATTTAAACTGAAAAAATAGGCCGAATAAACCTGAAAATGAAGATTTTATGCCTCCAACACGATCTCCCGAGATATTCAGTGGCTATTTTTAAACCTTGCCACTGATCAATGCCATCGGAATCATTAGAGGGACAAGCGGAACGAAAAAAGAGAAGCCTCTGCCCTCGAAATAGAGCACCTGCTGCACTTTTTCTTGGTCGAACGATTTATTTTGTTGGTTCCTTGAAACCTTTTTGAGGGTTCTTTGGGCTCAATGTAGCTTTTTCCATGATATGAAATCAATCAACTTTGTTTAGATCTTCAGAAAAAAATTTCTTAAAGAAGCTTAGGCAACCAAAAATTCCTAGAAGCTGTTGGCCCAGTGAAATTTCGCAACTCAGACAGCAGAAGCTCAAATTTTCCAAATTTAGCTTTTGGATCAAAGAAAAATAAAATTTTTTGAGAATTGCTCACTTTCAAATGAGAAATGAAGACATCTTGATGCTTTTTCACAAGTCTTTTAAGATTTTTCGAAAAAATTCCAAGTTCAAAAAGACGAAAGCTTGAAAATATTTATCTTTTTCGAAAATCTGATGGATTGGGATTTATTCTTGAAAGTTATCTACTTTAACACGACGAACTTTGAAAATTTTCGATTTCCGAAGATCCGAAGACCCTTTCGAACCGTCTGAAAAAGGTACCTTTTTTTGGAAAACCTCACTGAAGTAACCGGGATGAGATCCAGCTGAAGTATGAACCTTATATTCGAAGCCCCACTAAATTCAAAAATTGTCAATTATTCGGAAAACTCTTGGTTTGAGATGGCTCTATAAGTATTATCTACGATAAAACGGCGAATTCGTCAACTTTCCGAATTTTTTTTTCAAAAAACATTGGATTTCAAAGTCCTAAAAATCGTTCAAACCGTCTGAAAAAAGTGCTTGGTTCGAAAAATCCGTAATAAAGGCCAACTGTATGCTGAGACCTTATAAATTTGCAAATTTTCCCAAAAAGGGAAATTTTGAAATGTCTTTTCAAGACGTATTTATTTTCATTTTGATCTTGAGAAATCTGAAATCTCACCACCCATTCAAACCGTCTGAAGGCTCCTTTGTTTCGGACAACCGCGTTCAGACTTTGGACCTTCCACTCGTTTTGGATAACTTCTCAAACTCATAAGCGATGCGAAGTCTCACCATGTGCTGACCCGAAGGAGTCGCCAAAATTTTTCTTAGTTTCAAGGACCATCATTTTTCACTTGACGAACATGGGAAAAATTCGAGTTTCTTCGAAAATTTGACCAGAGAGGTCATTTTACTTTGTGGTTGGGAATTTCCTGAAAATTGACTAGAACACTTTTCGATGTACCAGATGAAGACTCTAGGAGTCTCAATCTGTAAAAATTATTCTTTTTTGAGAAAAGACGCCTTACAGTTAAAGAAACCCCACAAAACCCATAAAAATAGGCTATTTTGAGGCTTTAACCCCCTTATTTCTCGAAATTAGGAAGTTGTGCAGGTTGAGACTTTCTGGATCTTCATCTCATACTCCAAGAAGTGTTCTGGTAAATTTTCAGAAACTTCTCAAAATATAATCATTTACCATGTAAGATCTCAAGACCCATTCAAACCGTCTAGGCCTTTTTGTTTCGGACAACCGCGTTCAGACTTTGGACCTTCCACTCGTTTTGGAAAACTTCTCAAACTCACAAGTGATGTGAAGTCTCACCATGTGCTGACCCGAAGGAGTCGCCAAAATTTTTCTTAGTTTCAAGTACCATCATTTTTCACTTGACGAACATGGGAAAAATTCGAATTTTTCCAAAAACCTAAGATCTCACGACCCATTCATTTGCAAATTCTTTCAAAAAGTCAAATCCTGAAATGTCTTCTTAAGACTTATCTATTTTAACTTTACCAGACGAACTTGGAAAGTTTTTGAAAAATCTGAAATCTCGCCATCTCACGACCCATTCAAACCGTCTAGGCCCTTTTGTTTCAAAAAACCGCGTTCAAACTTTGGACCTTCCCGCCAGACACCCCCAGCCTTCCCGCAGCCGGGTGCTTCGTGTACCCGGTGCAACGGGCTTTTTCGTCTGCTCCGCTTTCGAAATGAATCTTTCGTCTTTGCATGCGATGACGCGACGACGAGTGTTCCCAGCCAATTTTCCTCCCTCTTTTTCTTTGAGCTGGTTCTCTTTTCTGGGGCTTTTAGATGGATTATAGACGTTTTTGGGAGATTAGAGGAGTTTTTTTTGTGATAAGATATACCAAGAAAGGCATTAGGGAAAATTAGGGTTTTGAAATTTTTTCATGAAATTCGAAATAGTGCAGTTAAATCGTTTTTTTGAGCTAGGCATGTCGAATTTTGGAGCAAAATTGAGAAGAAAAAAATCAAATTTATCGAAAAAAATTATTAAAATTGAATTTTTTTAGGTGAAAACCGTATAAAAAAATGGACTTCATAATGAATTTTTTTACTTTGTGAAAAAAATCATAACTTTTTTTAAAAGGGAATTTATAGGCTTTTAACAGAAAAATTCAGTATTTTTCTTATCGTTTGACTGGAAAAATAAAGATTATTCGTTTTTTTCTACAGAAAAAAATTTTTGAGACGTTTTTTTCTCATCAAAAAAATGAGCTCTCCGATCATTAAAACCTATTTTTCCAAGACCCTGACTCCTCAAGTTGATGCTCAGCGAATTCACCAACTTTTGATACGTAGTCTTCACTCTTCGAACTCATTCTTTGCACCCAGGCAAGAAAAAATGTAAGGCGACCGGCGCCCGGCTGTCTGAACCGGATTATTTTTCCGTTATCAGTGGGGCGAACTTACGGTAGAACGCCTGGAAAATTCATCGGGGTTTTTCGAAGATTATAGTTTGAAATAAACGAAATGAGTAGGCTCTTAAGGTTTTGAGTCGATGCGCAGGCAAATTTAAAGAAAAAATCTGGGCTCTGGGCTATTTTTTCAAGTATAACTGATCATTGAAAATTTAAAAAATGTGTCAAGGCTTTTAAAATTTTTCCAAATAAAAGAAGATTTTCAAATTTTTTCTAGAAGGTCCCCAACAGATTTTGATACACATTTTCATAGACTTTTAAGCAAAAATCACCTTTTCCCTCCAGAAAAACATTGTTTTTAGGTTAATCAAACTTGTTGATAAGAATTCAAGAAAAAGGAACTCGAATTCTCGTCGTGTTTTGTCTTTTTGCCACTGTCCGCACTATATAAACAGACGAGGAAACGCTTTTTTTTTCTCCTACACAACGGAAAAGCTCGCACGAATTCACGTGAATCGTCGTCTCGCTCTTTTTTCGAGGAAAATGGAGAGATTTGGATTTTTCTAAAAAAAAAAACTTTTAGGCTCGCCAAGGACTACTTGGAGAGGACACTAAAGTGGCCTCTAAACCCACCTCTATAGGGGCCACTATTTTCCGTTTTAGTGACCACTTTAGTAGTTTTTCATCCAGTATTCCTTCCAGTATCTCTGATAATTTTAAAACAAACAGATGGGACCAGTTATGTTGATCCGTTGATCCCTAAAGTGGCCACTAAATTTTTTAGTGGTCTAGTAGTAGTACTCAGACCTCTATAGTGGCCACTAATTGATAACCCCTTAAGTGGCCACTGTAGCGTCAAAACCCTATAGTACTCACTAAAAATTTTCCCAGTTAGGCGATTTTTTCACGTCTAAAAACCGTGGAATTGTACATCGAAAATGTATTTTTTTGGAGAAAAAAATTTAGGTATAAAATAATTTGAAAAATAAACTTTTTTTGGAGGTTTAACCCTTATTTTTTTGACTCTTTATTCATTCTAAATTAAATTTAAAAATCAAAACTTATGAGAAAAATTTGAAATTTAAAGTTCAGAAAAAAAGCTTTTTCCTTTAAATTTATGAGTATAAATAAGCTTATAAAGATTTTTATTAGTCCAAAAAAATCTTTATCAAAACCAAATATTTTTTTCCTTCTAAAGGTAATTTTTTTCATCAAAATCGGTATAATCCTGAAAATTGTTTTCACATGCCCTTGTCATGCATTTTTTGGGCTTTCTAAGCTTCCGGGTTGAAGAACGGCTAGAGAGGAGGCAAAAGCGAGGATCAGACGACGAGAGCCCTCGTCTGGGTGCATTTAGATTCTCTCCGGCCACGCCCTCAAACGCCTTTAAAACAGTCTTTTCTGAGACGAATCCCGATTCTTTTTTCCAAATTTTTCGTTTTCGGAGGCTTCTTTAGGACTTTTAGGGAAAATTTTAAGATTTTTTGGGGACTTTTTTAACGCTTTTAGTCGAAATCCGGTCGTTAAAAAAACTTTTTGAGGCCTCTTCCGAATTTTAGGAGAAAACTTGGAATTCCGAGATTAATTTTTGAGGCTTTTTAAGGGTTTTTAGGCGAATTTTAAGGTATTTTTAGACATTTTTCAAGATTCTAGATTTTTTTAGGGAAAGTTTGAAAATTTTTGAGAGGAATTTTGAGGCCGTCCTAGGGTTTTTTTAGGACTTCAAGGGAGATTTTGGAATAATTTAAAAAATGTTTTGAGACTTCTTCAGGCTTGTTTAGGCATGTTTTAAGGTATTTAGAGAACTTTCCGAGATTCTAGATTTTTAGGGAAAATTTAAAGTTTTTGAGAGGAATTTTCGATGCCGCCCCAGGGCTTTTATGAGTTCAAGGGAAATTTTGGACTGTTTGAAAAAAATATTCAAGGCTTCTTTAGGGCTTTTAGAGCTTTCAAGTAGACATTAAAGCTTCTGAGAAAATTTTGAGCTTTTTTCAGGACTTCTAGGAAAAATTTAAATAGTTTGAAAGAACTTTTTTAGGCCTCTATAGGGTTCTTAGGGATCCAAAAAAAAACTTTGGACTGTTTAAAAAAATTTTTGAAACTTCTTCGGCTCCTTTAAGGCTTTCAAGGCTTTTAGGATACATTTGGAGTTTTTGAGGAGTTTTTTGAAGGTTTTTCTAGGACTTTTGAGGAAATTTTGGGCTTTTGAGAGAATTTGCGATGCTTTCTTAGGTCTTTCAGGGTTTTTAGTGATGGTTCGGAGTTTTTGAGAGATTTTTAAGAGCTTTAGGAGAGATTAGAGTGATTTTTAAATGATTCTTTTGACTTTTAGCTTCAAAAAAAATTCAGAAGATGTAGAGTTTTTTTATTAAAAAAATGTAAAACTGATCTAAAATCTTTTTTTACTTGAGGTTTCAGGTGAAAATCGTATTTTTAAGGTTTTTCCTGAATTTTTTTAGGATTTTTTTGAAGAAAGTTGAGAGTTAATTTAAAGTTTTTTTCAGAGACTTTTTGGATATATTTAAAAATTTGTAACCAGTTGAAAAAAATTGTTTAGACCTTTTTTAAGGCTCACCAGTTTTAATATAATTTATTTTAAATACAATTTTTAACAAAAAAAAGTGCTATTTTTGGCAGAAAATTCATCAAATTTCAAAATTTCAAAAGCTTTTGAGCTCTTATTTTCCAAGAAAATATGGCTTAAAAAGGGATATTTGTGTTGAAAATAAGAGATCTAGGAATTTAGCCGGATAGTTTGAAAAATAAGGCGATTTTCTGTGGATTAAGGAATTCTTTCAAACGTCATTTAATAAAAAATAATATAATAGTCATTTCTACTGACTTTTTTTCACTTGGGAGCGGCCAACTCCTACTCACTCACATTAACTAATTACTAGCCGATTAATTGAAAGGAATTTCGAAGGTTTGTGTTGGGTTTTAAGACGAAAATTTAGTGGAACATTTTTTTGATTTTTTTAAAATATAATTTATTCGATTTTTCAGGTTTTCTTGAGCTTGAAAGTCATTAAATCGATTTAAAGGCGCATAGGAGGGTTTACTTAAAAATATTGACAGGAAGAGCTTTTTCCTGGCTTCTATTATTAAAAATAAGGCTAACACGTGTAAGGTTGTTATGAATGAACTTTCTGAAAAACTTGAAAATTTCCATTTTTCAGTTCATTTTCAAACTTTTAGAAGTCATTTGATGAGCTTTTGAACTCTGATAATCACATTTTCAAGTAAATTTTTTTGTTTTTTTCATCAGATATGACTGTTAAGTGTAAACTTCGATCTCAAACTTTGTACCCTATGACTTTTTTTCGAGAAGAAAACAATCACAAGAGCGTCACTTGCTTTAATCCGACGCCCGCTCGAACGGAAAAACCTTGAGATTGAGAGGAGACTAGAAAATACTTTGACCTGCCGTAGGGCGGATTAGAAATAACTTGGGTTCTAGTTTGAAATTGAAAAAAAGAGCTTTGACCTACCGTAACCTGGGCTAGAAATAACTGGAAGTCTTCGTGATAAATCGAAATGAAACTGAACTACCGTGGGAAGGATTAGAAATAGCTTAGATTCTGGTGTAATACGGTAGAATGAACTTTGACCTACCGTAACCTGGACTAAAAATAACTGGAATTCTTCCTGATAAACTGAACTTTGACCTACCGTAAGACGGACCAGAAGTAACTCACAATATAGGGGACATTTTGAGCTACCGTACCTGGTTGGACTAAGAATAACTGGAAGTCTTCTTGATAAATCTAAATGAAACTGATCTACCGTGGGAAGGATTTGAAATAACTTGGATTTTAGTGTAATACGGTAGAGAGATCTTTGACCTACCGTAACCTGGGCTAGAAAAAAAAAATGAAAACCTACCTTATGAATGGATAACTGAACCTACCGTAGGAAGGACTAGAAATAACTAGGATTCTAGTGTATACGGTAGAGAGAACTTTGACCTACCGTAACCTGGACTAAAAATAACTGAAAGCCTTCCTGATAAACTGTACTTGGACCTACCGTAGTCTGGAGTGGAAATAACTTGGATTCTAGTGTATACGGTAGTGAGAACTTTGACCTACCGTAACCTGGACTAGAAATGACTGAAAGTCTTCCTGATTGATTGAAACTTTGACCTACGGTAGGGTGGGCTAGAAACAGCATAGATCTTAGTGGAATTTAGAAATTTTTTTTAAGTTCGAAGAATTCTACCGTAACCCTAACAGAGTCAAATTTGTTAAAAAAAGTCTCTCAAAATGTTGCGACTTCTGATTTTTTCTTCCTCCGTTCCGTTCCTGAGTTAATTCAAATCGACTTCCTGACGGCTAATTTTCCTCCACGTGACCTTTTAGAACACAAAATGCGTGGAGCTTTTTGCCTCGAAACGAAAAAATCGCGATTTTTAACACGCTGACGTAGATGTCACCACGTGCGGGGGGTTGATCGAATCAAAAAGTTCGAGGGGCGGAGCCGAAAATGACCATTTAAGGGAAAATTTTGAACTTGAAATAGTGACTTTTGGTACGGTCGTTTGAAATTTTCGAATTTTATCTTGAATTTTTTCAAGTTTGATGATTTTTTCAACTTTTTGGTCCCAAAAAATGACCATTTAAGGGAAAAATTTTTGGACTTGAAATAGTGATTTTTTTGGTACGGTCGTTTGAAATTTTTTTAAAGTTTGATTTTTGCATTTTTTTCAAGTTTTATAATTTTTTTCAATAGTTTAGTAAGCGTCTGGGGATGGAAAAAAATTAGAAATCGAAAAAAATTCAATTTTTTTGATAATTTTTATGAGTTGAAACATCCGTAAACTTTCCAATTTTTTTCTCTTTTTTTCGTAATTTTTTTGAAAAAAATCCAGGTCTATAAAAAAACAGAGAGATTATGTTTTTTCGATTTTTCTGAAACTTTAGGAGATTTTTTTCCTCCCATGATTTTTTTAAATAATTTTTCATCCTTTAAGGAATATAGGAATATAAATTTTTGAACACTAAAAACCCCTCAAATCTTGGCTTCTACTCTTAGTTAATGGAAAAAAATTGAAAATTTCCCTTTTTTTCAGTAAGAATCTAACCTTAAAAACCCATTTCGTTATCAATTTTTCCCCGCCAATCGTACTTTTGCGCTCTGAAAATCTCAGCCAAAGAACAGTTGCTGTTTTTGATTTCGAATTGATTATAGTTTTTTTCGTTTTTGAACGATTGCACTTGAAAAAGTGAAAACACAACAGCTGTGACGGCAAAAAGTATAAAAGAGCGATTTTCTCGAGAATTTTCATATTTTCTAACAAATCTCTGTTCTAATTTTACATGGATGAAAGGTCCAAAACTTCTTCGAAATGGTCCAGAAAGAAAAAGGTATTTTTTTTCATTAAGTAGGTTTTTTTCAATACTAAAAAAATTTAACAGGATGGTGCTTCTCTCAATGAAATTTCAGTTTTTACCAAAATTTAAAAATGCTCCCAAAAGTTCCCCATAATGGCTCATGTACTGAAAAAGCTTCAATTTGGCACCATTTATGAATAAATTTATGAGTTAAGTCGAAATTCGAAATTAAAAAGAAACCATTTTTTCTAATATAAGTTAAATTTTCAGGAAATTTACCATTTTTCAAAACTTTTATGGTTCTTTTTGCTCAAAAAGAAAGCCCAGTTTCTTCCAAAATTTGAAAAAAATGCCCTTAATTTTTTCCCCATAATGGTTCAAGCTCCGAAAAAAAATTTCATTTTTGGTACCGTTTATAAATAAATTTATTAATCCAGTCGAAATTCATATTTTCAAAAAAACGATTTTTTTCTAATATAAGTTGAATTTTTTTAGGAAATTTATCATTTTTTAAAAATTTATCGCTATGGTGCTTTTTGCTCAGAAAAAAAGCCCAACTTCTTCTAAAAATTTAAAAAAATGCCCTTAATTTTTCCCCATAATGGTTCAAGCTCCGAAAAAACTTCAATTTACCATCAAAAAAATTTTTTCGAATGGGTAGTACGTTTTTTTTATCAGAAAAAAAGCCCAGTTGCTTTTGCAATTAAAAAATGCCCTTAATTTTCCCCATAATGATCCAAGCTCCAAAAAAACTGCATTTTGGTTCGAAAAATTCCGGCCGAAATTCAAAAGTCCAACTTTTCAATGTCCCTGATAAGCCCCCAAGTGACAGATTTATCATTATAGCCGTTTTTTTCTTTCTTTTTAAAATCGTTAAATTTTCAGTTCCCATGTGACTTTTTCTCTTTTTTTTAAAGTTCAAAAGAATGAGCCTTTTTGTATAAATAGGCTGATTGACACCCGATTTTCTGGTTTCGTGTCCCTTTGAAGGTGATAATCTGGTAATCGCTAATTTTTTGGCTCCTGTCAGTCTTTTGAATCGAGTTTTGAGAATGTTTTATTGATCTCTTTGAGCTTTCTTCCTCATCTTAGTAGCCTTTCTGTTCAGAATGTCGCTAGAATGAGCAATTTTTTCTAGGTGCTATATGTATTTTTTTTCAATCGGTCTTTTTCTATAGTCTTCCATTTGAATAAATGGGAAGAACATTTTTTTTCATTATATAGATATCAATTGGTGTTGGTACTAGTACATTTTTTGACAATTAATATTTTTTATAGTTAGCATAAAACAGGAATGAATGATCTTGAGAAATTTCTAAAACTCCACTGCACTTTCTAAAGGAGCATGAGCAAATTTTGATAAGGGTCTCAAAGCGAAAAATCGTTATCCGTGTTTTTTTAGGCCATGCTAGGCTTGTTCTTTTGAAAATAGGCCCGTAAGCTTGTCACGATTTTTTTTTCTTCGACCCCCTGGACCCGTTTTTTGAAGCGTGGCTTGTCTAAGTACATGCGCCTTTAATAAGGCGGAAATGTAGGCCAATGGGTTACTGTAGCTTGGAGAAGATTAAAATTTATGACAAGTTGGGATGAAAATGTCAGATTTGGAATTTCAAGTACAATGACGTCATTAGAAAACGCTCAATAGATGGCTCGCTCTCTGATTGGTTTATCGCGTCATTATGGGCGGAGCTTGAGCGACCACTTGATCTTCGAATCTCTGAACAGACTGTATACTGACTAAATTATTCGAAAATCCGCTGAAATCTTCGAAAATCCCGCTCCAACCTCAGAATTTTCAGCTCCAACACTCCGGCGACCGCCCCAGCCACCGCCGCCGCCTCCCCACACCGAGCCGCCGATTATTCCACCGACGGCGGAAGCCCGAAAAGACGTCTACCACTTTGAACTGAGAATGAAGCAGAAGATCTACTGCGAGGGCTCCCTTCTCCATGCCGTCCAGACCTCCCACATCTTCGCCGACTGCAAAACGTTCGTCGACATGCCCTTGAAGCATGATGCTGGTGAGCTATTTTCAAACTCACGGGAATCCTGGGAAGGTTTTGGGAAGGTTCATGGAACCTAGAAGGTCTTGAGAAGGCCTTATGAAGGTTCAGAAGGTATCTGGAAAGTCTTCGGAAGCCAAAAAAAGAAAATGCTTGCCCCTTCCAGCAGGCTTTTGGAAGGTAAGGAAAGGTGTTAGGAAGGTCTGTGAAAGGTATTTGAAAACTTGCTGGAAAGCTTCCAACACCCCCATTCTTTGAAAAAATAAATGAATAGAAACTTAGACCACGGCAACGGAAACCGGACATTCCTGAGCGATTCTAGGGGTCACTTAAGAGTTCTGACGCCCCTAAAGGGGTCACTAGAAATCTTCCAAGGTCCGAGAAGTAACTTCAATCATAACGACTTGATACTGTCTGACTTGTCTGCCCTCTCTTTTCTTTCACTGTATCATTATGAAAAGCCTTCTTTTCTCGTTTTTTTTTTTTTTTTTGAAGTTTTATCGGATCTCCTCTTTTAGAAATATTGTGGTCAAGTCTCGAAATGACCACTTGATAAAGGATAATATGTAAACTTGAAAATATGAAAGGAATAATTAGCTCATTATGAATATTTTTGCAATTTTAGAATCGACTCTGAACAAATGGGAAGCTCTGCAATCCCTCGGCGCCGTAAATGCCGAAACGTTGGCCGCATTCATCCGAGAAAATTTCGACGAACCTGAAGGAGAACTCGTCGAATGCGCCCCAGCTGACTGGGATCCCATGGTTTTGCAAAAATTGAAGTTTCCCGAACTGAACGTTGGATTTAAGACTGATAAGTTCCGCAAAATCGGCGATGAGGACTATAGACGATTCGCAACTGCGCTCCATGGCAAATGGCCGACTCTGTATAGGAAGGTGAGGATTACTGTATAGTCGACAGTAGGAGCTTTGAGGGGTACGGTAGTTTGTAAATGTGAGGATTACTGTACAATCGACAGTAGAAGCTTTTGGAAATACGGTAGTTTGTAAATGTGAGGATCACTGTATTATTGACAGTAGAAGCATTGACGAGTACGGTGAATTGAAAATGTTAGGATTAGTGTATAATCGACAGTAGAAGCTGTCAGGAGTACGGTAGCTTGAGAAAAAAGTGAGAGTTACTGTGTAATAGATAGTAGAAGCTTTCAGAAGTACGGTAGCATTAGTTAACGTATGGATTACCTTATGATCGACAGTAGGATCTTTGGGGAGTACGGTAGCTTGAAAAAAAAACGTGAGGATTACGGTATGATCGACAGTAGAATCTTTGAGTAATACGGTAGTTTGGAAAAAAACGTGAGGATTACTGTATTATCGACAGAAGCTTAGAGGATTACGGTAGTTTAAGCCTCGTGAAAATTAACAGAGAGAGCATTGGTAATTAAGAGAGCGTCTAGAGAAAATAACAGCTTGAATCTTTAAAATATTAGTTCTCTTGAATCTTATTTAAGAAACAATTTTCAGATTGCCGAAAAAGTCTTGGTAAATCCAGAGCGCTACTCGATTATTCCAGTACCTAACCCGTTCATCGTCCCTGGAGGAAGGTGAAAATTTAATTTTTTTAAAGCGCTTTCTATTTTATAGTCAATGTTTCCCGAATTGAAAGGCGAGGGAGGCGTGGCAAGGGGCGGGACGCGTAGCGTGTGCGCACGCGGTTCTTGGCACGTGTTCAATTCAACCGCCAGCGAGAATTCAGAGAGCTTATTTATCGCTCTTTTTACTTTTTTTTAAATTTTTATTCATTATGTTCATGTGTGCATCAAAAAATAGAAGAAAATACAAAAAAAGAGCGGTTGCCGAGCTTTTTTTAAATAGTCGGCGGCAACTGAATTGAACTGGCGCCAACAACCGCGTGCGCACATGCTACGCGTCCCTGCCCCTTGTCACGCCTCCCTCCCCTTTCAAGTCGGGAAACATTGACTATAAAAAGCAGAAAAAAAGTTTGAAAAAAAGTAGAAATTGGATTAAAATCACCATTCTCATTTGACCTTTATCCGTAAAACCTAAAAAAAAAATTTCTAAATTCTTCTTTCTGCGAAGCGTTTCTTTAAGCCCCTAAAGTCCCTTTTTCATTTTATTTTCTAAAGTTGAATAAAATATTAGGATATCAGTAACTATCAAAAACTAAATATATTTTCAGATTCCGCGAAATGTACTACTGGGACAGTTTCTTCACAATCAAAGGTCTGATCGCCTCGGGAATGCTTCAGACGGTCCGCGGGATGATCGACAACATGCAGTTTTTGGTTGAAACGTGAGGATTACTGTATGATCTACAGTAGGAGCTTTCAGGAGTACTGTAGTTTTTAATACGTGATAATTAATGTATAGTTGACAGTGGGAGCTTTCACGGATAGAATTTGTTCAGAGAACGTGAGTATTACGGTATGATCAACTGCAGAAGCTCTCAGGGGTACGGTAGCTTGATAAACGTGAGAATTACGGTTTAATCTACAGTAGGAGCTTTTACAAGTGTGGTAGCTTGAAAAAACGTGAGGTTTACTGTATAAGCGGCAGTAGGAGCTCTCAGGGGTACGGTAGTTTGGAAAAACGCAAGGAATACTGTAAGAAAGACAGTAGAAGTTTTCAGGAGTACGGTAGCTTGAAAAATGTAAGGGTTACTGTAAGAGCAACAGTGTAGACTTTGAGGGGTACTGTAGTTTGAAAAACGTGAGGACTACTGTAAGAGCAACAGGGAAAACTTTTATGAATAATGTATCTTGAAAAACGTGGGGATTACTGTAGAATCGACATTAGAAGTTTTCAGGAGTACGGTAGCTTGAAAAATTTAAGAATTACTGTATAATCAACTGTAGAAGCTTTCATGGGTACGGTAGCTTGAAAAACCGTAAAGATTACTGTATAATCCACAGTAGAAATCGACCAAAATCAAGAAATTTCAGGTTCGGATTCATCCCCAACGGCAACCGCGTCTACTACCTCAACCGATCCCAACCGCCGTTGTTGACTTGGTGCGCCCACGCCTACTTTGAAGCCACCAAGGACGTCTCCTTCGTCGAGAATATCCTTCCGACGTTGAGAAAAGAGGTGAGAATCGCTCAGAAAAAAAATGGCTGCGAAAGTCGGTGGTTGTGCGCTCTGGGGATAATTTTGAAAATAAAGACCCGAAAAAGGTTTTAGAGACATCTAAACCTCTCATTTTGGCGCACTATATCGCTCATCCAATCAAAGAATACCCTGAAAGGCTTCTAAGGCTTATGTGAATGTACTAAAATGTCAGTATTTTTATTGGTCCATGGAGCGCATTTTTTCTATGTTGACTGGAAAAAATAGCCACGGCTTGCTGAAAATGCGCTCCACGGCTAAATTTTCATTCAGAGGGTTTTTTTCCTTTTGGATGACACGATTAAATAAGAGATAGTGTATAGTTAGTAGAGAGCGCAGACAGGCCACGCCCCTTAGCGTCCTAAGAAGGTTTTGAAAATTTTTTTGAAGAAGGCCTTCTAATAGTATAACCAGCGACTCGACAATTTCCGAGTGTCTGCGTCTCTCTGTTCCCTCGCCGGTCAGAGAAACATGAAAATAGCACTTCAATATGAGAGAGCCCAGAGAAAAATAACATCAAGTTTTCATTTATCGTTTTTCTTCAGCTGGCCTTCTTCCAAACCAACCGATCGATAATGCTGGAAGGCTGGTCGAGCCCCCTGTTCCGATTCACGGTCCAGGCCGTCCGACCTCGGCCGGAAAGCTACCGAGAAGACATGGAATGCGCCCATCATCTCACCGATCTGGATGAAAAGTGCACCTTGTGGGGCGACATCGCGGCGGCCGCCGAGAGTGGACGAGACTTCTCGGCCCGGTGGTTCGCCAACAGTGGCCCCTTGGCTGGAAAGCTCCAGAGCATGAGGTGAAGCTTGAAAATTGTATTTCTTAAAGGGATATTTCCCAAAAAAATTGCCAAAAGAAGTGAAAAAACTACCGTATTCTGCACATCTTACTGTACAGTATTTTTGATAGAATCTTTATGCAACTTATATTTATTACAGGGGTCTGAAAAGATCTTTATGTTAGAATGATTTTAGCCTTAAAAATATCGATAAACTGAGATATACAGTATCCCCTTTTGCTTTAAAATAAAATACGGTAATCTTAGCCTGTCACAGTAACTAAATTTTCAAACTACAGTAATCCTTTTCATCTCCATTCAACCTAATTTAAACAAAAAATTTAACTTTTTCATGCTCAGTCTGCCCTCCTATCTTCACCGATATTACCGTACTTTTCAAAAAAATACAGTAACCCCTTCCGACCTGAAAAGAGCAGACCAAAGTCCTGTCGACGTTCATCATGGCGGCGGCGTTATTAAACGATCCGCAGTAATGGGGAGCCGAAAATACGGTCACCAGCTTCTTGTTGGCGAAGAACTCGTAGCCGTCTTGAACGACCTGAAATGACGTCATAACAGCCGCGACGTGACTTGACTTTTCCAAAAATAATTGCGTTTCTGATTTGTAATTTACGGTCTTCTGATTGTTTTTCCCGGCCTCAGAAGTCCCGCTAGAGATTTTTCCACTGACTCCAACTCGGCATTCCCAAAAAAAATGTGTTTCTGATTTGTAATTTACGGACTTTTAGTTGTTTTTCCCGGCCTCAGAAGTCTCGCTAGAGATTTTCCACTTTGGAAAGTGAATATTTGATTTTAAAATAAGCTTTTTATGACCTGAATAAGTTTAGAAAATAGTTCTGATAGTTCTTTTTGACCTCTTTTGAAAAGAGGTCAAAAATGTAGTTAAGGGGACCTCGAATCAATAAAACCAGTTTTTGAAGCCTCGAAAAATAAATTGACCCCATTTTTTTTCTCCAGGACATCTCAACTCGTTCCCGTCGAGCTGAACGCCATCATCTGCGGAAATATCCGACTCATGGGAGAAATGTACGACGTGATCAACGACGTCGAAGGCTCCAAATGGTGCGCCTTGATGCAGGATCAGATGAGACGAACCATGCATCAGGTAAATCTTGAATATTAGGTACACTTTTTCGGAAATACATGGGATGAGCATGAAAAGTTGAAAAGATTTCCTCCTCCATTCTCCAAAAATATTTGTTTTTGAATTCATCGAATTAAAACACGCACCCTGAAAATTTTTTTTTGACGGTTTTTACTAACAGTTTCTTAGCATTCTCAAAAACGCCAGAGTGGTCACTACAAGGGCGAGTTTAGGAGCCCTTCAAGGTTCCTCTATAGGGAAAATTGTGTCTGTATTTGAAAAAAAAAATTTAGGACCTCTAGAACAGTTCGGCTTTGGTGGCCAAACCGTAAACCCCTTAAGAGACCACTTAAATTTTACCCCTGTAAAGAGAACTTTTTTGTCCCCTCAAGGGGCTGTTTTCCGCCTTACCCTATAGGGACCACTCTGGCGCTCTTGAGATCTTAAAAGTTAATTTAGCTTGGAATCCGTAGGGACTCTGATTTTTCCACGATCATCGAACAATCTTTACCTTTTCCAGGTGCTCTGGAACGAGGAGCACGGCTGCTGGTTTGACTACGACCTCAAGGCGATGGAGCAAATCACGACGTTCAACGACACCAACTTCTTCCCCATGTTCACCAGAAGCACCCATGAAGGATTCGACTCCAACAGAGTAATACAGAAATCACATCTTCAACGTCTTCAACCTGACGTCTTCAGGTCGCCGACTACCTCATCCGAAGCGGCGCCCTCGGTTTCCCCGGCGGATTCCCCTCCTCCTTGGTCACTTCTGGAGAACAGTGGGACTTTCCAAACTCGTGGGCGCCCACCACGTGGGTCCTGATCGAGGGCCTCAGGGCTGCCGGACAGCCCGAAATGGCCCGCGACATCGCCGACAAATGGGTCCGCAAGAACTTCAACATGTGGAAGAGCAGCGGCGGCAAGATGTTCGAGAAGGTTCGTAGTCCAATTCTAAGTTGAGCTATTGTTTGATCTCTCTAGTGTCCACTTGAACAGAACCTATTAGGTATTTTTCAGTACAACGTCGTCTCGCCGTGCTACAAGGTGAGCGGCGGCGGCGAGTACGAGATGCAGGAAGGCTTCGGATGGACGAACGGCGTCATACTCGACCTTCTCACTACCTACGGACACCTCATCCGCTGGACCGCCGGCGACACCTGCGAGTGCTGCAGCACCGACGGATTCTGCGGCATCGACGTTGCCACCGCCACCGCCGCCAAGGTCCCCGACGTCGTCGACGAGTTGCCCTCGTCCCGACACGACCTCCACTTCGAAGACGCCACTCTCCCACAGACCCCCTCGACGTCTTCTTTGGAGTCGATGGACACCAGCACGACGTCTTCTGATCCTGAAGACGGCCTCCGAATCCGCTAGGCGAATCGCGACGTCCGCTAGGAATCTTAATAAATGTTATCATTTTCCTAAATATTATTAGCATTTCCGGATGATGTGGCCTGAAGGAACGGTTGTGTGTCTTCCCTAGATTTTTACTCGATTCCCCTTTTGGCCGCATTTGGAATGGCTCGACGCGTTGTGGTTGAGCCATTCCAAATGCGACCATCGCGTCTCAAAATCTCACTTTTTGCTCTAAACTAGCCACGCTCAGAATCTCTTCTGGATTCATTAGATTTTCACTCGATTTCCCTTAATTTGGAATTTGGTCGCGTTTGGAATGGCTTGAAGCGTCGCGGTCGCGTTGCGGTTGAGCCATTCCAAATGCGACCAGAGGTTTTCGAATTCTCAATTTTTCGTGAACTTTTCAAGTTCTATTTTTTTGGATTTCCTAGATTTATACTCAACTTGCCCTTTTTCGGACTTTTGACCGCATTTGGAATGGCTCAAACGCAAAATCTTAGCCATTCCAAATCAATCGATCATTTTCTGCAACTAGAATTTCATGCCGCTTGTGATTTTCCCCGTCTTTTTGCATTTATATTTCAATTTTAGGTGATCAAATCGCGCTCGTTTGTGTACATAATGCAAAAAGAACGAATAAAAACTGGTCTTTTTTTCCTAATATTAATTTTTTTTTTTCATCGATTCGGTATTTGTGAGCTTATTGAATGCATTTTTTTTGTTCTTTGTAAATTTTTTGCCTTTATAGAATAAATTATAAAATTGGATGGATTTTTTTGGCATTGAAATTTGTTGCGATTTACAGATCTGTGTATTTTGAAAATTTTTGGAGAGTTTTTTGAGATTTTATGAATTTTTCAAAAGGTCAAAGGATCAAATTTTTTTGATCTTTGTCATATAAAATTCACAGAAAATGACCTTATTTTTATTCTTTTTTTATAGTAAAATAAAGGCTTTTTTTCGATTCTTTATAATAAAATGGAGGTTTTTTTATAATAAAATAAAAGTATATTTGATTTTTTTCCGATTTTTGATAAATTTATCATCATAAATGACTACAGAATTTAAGCTTTCTTGGATTTTTTTCGAATTTTTAAAGGCTGATTTTTTTGGTTTAATTTTTTTGTTATTTTTTTGAGATTTTTTTGAACTTTTTTTCTTCGAAATTTTTCATTCTCCAGTTATTGTAGTTATTTTATGAATAAAAAAGCTATTTTTAAATTTAATTTTCAAGGAAAAATGAGCACATTTGCTGGACGACTACGTGAAACGGACCAATTAGCGATCGATCAATTTGAGCCCCAAAATTTGTCGTCGACCTCATTTTTTTCCTGTCCCATTTTTCATGCAGGTAAAGTTTCATTTTTTTAATTCTTCTTAAAATTTAAAGTAATCGTATTTATAATTTTTAAGAGAGTTTAGTTTTAATAATAAAGATTTAATTCATTCACGTATTTATTAATCATAACCCTTGGCTCAATCGGTAGAGCTCTTGACTATCAATCCAAAGGTCCCTGGTTCAATCCTTAGCCCTTCCAAACTTTTTTTGCACTGAAAAAAATTTTTGACACGTACTTCAATTAAAGAACCATCTCATTAAAACAAAATAATAATGACGTCATCACCCAAGATAATTCGAAATTTCGAGTCAATCAGAAGCTTTTTTAATAACAAAAATGATTTTTTTTTAGTTTATTGATTTTCTAATCTAACAAATGATCTGAAATAGTAAATTCCGATTTACAAACTTTAAATTTTGAAATTTGTGCATATTCTAACACTTTAATGAACAAAATTATTTTTCTTCCCTTTAAAGAAGCATGGATAAATCCATAAAGGTCTCGAGGCGAATAACAGCTTTTTTTAAAAGTTTCAACTTAATTTTTTTCATGATAATAATAAATTGATTAACTTGAAAACTGATTTAAAAAGTTTTTTTTGAAAAAATTCCTTGAATCTTTGCCAAAAAATTGGAGCAAACAATGTCTAAAATTTCAATATAGCCCATTCCGTACCAGCTTGTCACGATTTTCGTTTTCCGCTGAGCTACAGAACCTTTCCCTTCGATGTGCGCAGCCTACCCTTGCGCATGCGCCTTTAATTGAGCCAAAAAATTTTGCCTTATTTAAAGGCGCATGCACAAAGACTCTGCCTGCGCCTTTAAAGGCATAGGGGCAGTAAAAAACGGTGTTTCAGTTGAAAGCAGTTCTTTGTAGAGCTTTTCATTGCGAATCGAACGGTGAACATGGAAACGTACAGAAATTCATAGTTTTGGAGAAAAAAAAAATTCAAAGTCGGAGAGAGGAAAGTTTGAGTTCCCGCAAAAAGGGCGCTTTGCAGTAAAGTTGCTCTACGGACAACAGGCTTCGCCATTTTTCGGATTTTCGCTTTTTTCTTCGTTTCTTTCAAATTTCAATTTTTTCTGTTGTCACCAAAGTTCTTTTTGTCACTAAAGCTTTCTATGCATGTATAATTAGCAAACTTTGTTCGCAAAAATGCTTTTCTGGTGAAAAATGATGATTTTACACAGGTTTCGATGGGGATAGCGATATTCTGCGTTTCCTTTATTATCGGTGTGGGTTTTTTGTTTTCTTAATTGATTTTCTAGAGTAGTAACCCTTGATTTGAAGCAGATATCCGGTTATTTCTCACAAAATGCGAGTCTAATGAGACGTCCGCAACATCCCGTGCATGGCTACTGTAAACATTTGTCCGTAGAACGATCCAAAGCTTTTTTCAAAATTAAAGGCGGGATGTAAAATCGCGTTTTTCTTCTAAAGTTTTCACATCTGTAATTTTTTTGAGTACACCATTCGATTCGCAAAGAAAAACTGTATAAGATACTGCTTTCACCTAAAACCACATTTTTAACTGCCCCTATGCCTCTAATATAACGGAAGTTTTGGCCAAATAAAAGACGCAGGTAGAGAAACATTCCGCGCGCTTCGAACGGAACAGTTATCCGTCTCGGATGGGAAACGAAAATCGTGACAAGCTGTAATACCTGAAAAGAACATTCATTTTGCTCTAGACCACATGCGAGGAATGGCAAGCCTTCGATTCGAAGCCGTTCTACGGTCTGGAAAACGTCTTTACACTCACAAAGTAACCAAGAAACTCATTTTTGCGGACCCTCGGTTCAAAGATTGGGAGGTATTTTTTTGAAATTTTCCTCACTTCGTAGTATGTCAAGTCATTTAAGGGTAAGGAAAAAATATAGCCTATTTACTAGTAAATTTCTGAAAAAAGGTCGCACGTGGAATGGCTCTAATTTTAACGGCTTTTGTCGAAGAACTTTTTGGATGAACGCCTCGAAGCGCAAGTCGGTTCAGGTCGGTCAAGCTTTGAAGCGACAAATTATAGTCTATTCAGATTTTAAATGTCAAGTAGAATGAAGTCATTCGAAAACACTCTGTGGATGGCTCGCTCTCTTATTGGTTTATCGCACCATTATGGGCGGAGCTTCAGCGACCACTTGACATTCAAAATCTGAACAGACTATAGGCGGCCCGTCGAGCCATTCCAAATGCGACCATGGCTTGTTGAATATACTGTATTCTTGTTTTACACGGCTTTTTTCTCAGTGGAAGAAAATGTGAAACCAAAAACACGGTGGGCGGAGTCAAAATATCCGCCGTTCCCACGTGACGTCATGAGAACGGCAGAGATTCTAACAGCGGGAATAACAGGGCATATTAAAGGCGCAGGCCGCCGTATAGCCAGAAGTCTTTGAGACGAATCTACATAAACGCAATTTTCTGCGCGAAAGCGGCGCAGTACATGCACACGACACACTACACTTTACGGGGAAAAAGTGGGCGTGGCATCGCCGGAAAACGCCGTGTTTAGAGCGCAATTTCATTTAAAGTTCACTTTTTTTTTTCAATTTTTCCAGTCATCTAGTGAATAATTAAGAACAAGGCCTTTCGGTCATTTTCATTAATTTGATATAGTCCGTTCCTATGACGTCATTAGGAATCGCTCTCTGATTGGTTCATTTCACCATTAGGGGCGGGGCTTGAAAGAGGACTTGACATTCGAAATCTGAACAGACTATAACTGGGACATTGGTAACGCGACGCGAATCGGACGTTCCTGGACATTTTAGTGACCACTTTAGTAGCGTCAGAACCCTTAAGTGATCCCTAGAACCACTCAAAAACGTCCAGATTCGCGATAACGAGGTCCAAGAAGCTATCGATGAAAAACTTTATCAAATTATAATTTTCCAAACCACAAATTCAGGACTTCTGGGTCATCGGCTGTGATATAAACGAGCCGTTCCGAGTTTCCATCAAAACTCCCGAGCAACTCGAATTTTTTCAAGCTTCTCAAGAAGAATCCACATCAGGAGATCAAGATTTGTTAGTTTTCAAGTTTTTTCCGAAAAGATCCAGAAGTTCCAGATATTTTGACGATGAAGACTATGTGACAGTGAGTTTCATGCCGGCCCGTCATTGTTTAGGATCTGTTATGTCGGTTTTTTTTTTCTTCTAAAGTTGTTTTTCATAGTTTTATTTAGTGTAAAAAAAGTTCTCAAACTGAAAATTTTGGTTATCCTTCCTTTTTTTCCATTTTTTTAAAAACAAAAAGTCCAGATTTCGACAAGTGCGCTCCATTGATAATAAATTCCCTGATTGGATTTTCACGCTTTTTATTGACTATTTAAGGAAGAAAATCACGGAAGAATGGCCAGAGTGGTCCCTAGAGGGGTCAAAGAAAGTTCCCTTGAAGTTCTAGTGGTCCCTGAAGGGTTTTTCAATTTTTCGCTCAGATTTCTTCTCATAGATAAAAATCGACTAGCATGTCACCTACAGGGGCCACTTTGCAAGTTTTAGTGGCCCTTCTAGGGTGAGGTAAAGTGTTCCCTAAAGGGGTTATGAAAAAAGGTCCCTTGAAGTGGTCCCTTAAGGGTCTTTTAATTTCTCGCCCAGATTTCTTCTCATAAATAACAATAATCGACTACCTTGTCGCCTATAGGGGCCACTTTTCGAGTTTTAGAGCCCCTCTAGGGCGAGGTAAAGTGATCCCTAGAGGGGTACCTTCGAGAGTTCCCAAGGTTTCCCCTGTAGGGACCACTCTGGAGTACCTAAGTATTTCTGATCATATATTGAAACAGGTCCTGAAATTTTTTACGACTGTGTTTCGCCTTTTTTGAAGCTGTTTTGAAGCTATTTTGAAGCTATTTTGAAGCTATTTTGGAGCTATTTTGAAGCTGTTTTGAAGCTATTTTGAAGCCATTTCGAAGCCTTTTCGAAGCTCTTTTGGAGCCATTTCGAAGCTATTTTGAAGCCATTTCGAAGCCTTTTCGAAGCTCTTTTGGAGCCATTTCGAAGCTATTTTGAAGCCTTTTCGAAGCTATTTTGAAGCCTTTTCGAAGCCATTTTGAAGCCATTCCGAAGCCATTTTGAAGCTACTTTGAAGCTATTTTGGAGCTATTTTGAAGCTGTTTTGAAGCTATTTTGAAGCTATTTTGAAGCCATTTCGAAGCCTTTTCGAAGCTCTTTTGGAGCCATTTCGAAGCCATTTTGAAGCTACTTTGAAGCTATTTTGGAGCTATTTTGAAGCTGTTTTGAAGCTATTTTGAAGCTATTTTGAAGCCATTTCGAAGCCTTTTCGAAGCTCTTTTGGAGCCATTTCGAAGCTATTTTGAAGCCTTTTCGAAGCCATTTTGAAGCCATTTTGAAGCCATTTCGAAGCCATTTTGAAGCTACTTTGAAGCTATTTTGGAGCTATTTTGAAGCTGTTTTGAAGCCTTTTCGAAGCTATTTTGAAGCCTTTTCGAAGCCATTTTGAAGCCATTTTGAAGCCATTTCGAAGCCATTTTGAAGCTACTTTGAAGCTATTTTGGAGCTATTTTGAAGCTGTTTTGAAGCTATTTTGAAGCTATTTTGAAGCCATTTCGAAGCCTTTTCGAAGCTCTTTTGGAGCCATTTCGAAGCTATTTTGAAGCCTTTTCGAAGCTATTTTGAAGCCTTTTCGAAGCCATTTTGAAGCCATTTTGAAGCCATTTCGAAGCCATTTTGAAGCTACTTTGAAGCTATTTTGGATCTATTTTGAAGCTATTTTGAAGCCTTTTCGAAGCTATTTTGAAGCCTTTTCGAAGCCATTTTGAAGCCATTTTGAAGCCATTTCGAAGCCATTTTGAAGCTACTTTGAAGCTATTTTGGATCTATTTTGAAGCTATTTTGAAGCCTTTTCGAAGCTATTTTGAAGCCTTTTCGAAGCCATTTCGAAGCCATTTTGAAGCTACTTTGAAGCTATTTTGGATCTATTTTGAAGCTATTTTGAAGCCTTTTCGAAGCTATTTTGAAGCCATTTCGAAGCCTTTTCGAAGCTCTTTTGGAGCCATTTCGAAGCTATTTTGAAGCCTTTTCGAAGCTATTTTGAAGCCTTTTCGAAGCCATTTTGAAGCCATTTTGAAGCCATTTCGAAGCCATTTTGAAGCTACTTTGAAGCTATTTTGGATCTATTTTGAAGCCATTTTGAAGCTACTTTGAAGCTATTTTGGATCTATTTTGAAGCTATTTTGAAGCCTTTTCGAAGCTATTTTGAAGCCTTTTCGAAGCCATTTTGAAGCCATTTTGAAGCCATTTCGAAGCCATTTTGAAGCTACTTTGAAGCTATTTTGGATCTATTTTGAAGCTATTTTGAAGCCTTTTCGAAGCTATTTTGAAGCCTTTTCGAAGCCATTTTGAAGCCATTTTGAAGCCATTTCGAAGCCATTTTGAAGCTACTTTGAAGCTATTTTGGATCTATTTTGAAGCTATTTTGAAGCCTCTTTCTAACTGTAAGTTGAACCTGGCCTCGAAATTTCTATTTGGCATTATTTTAAGTGAAAAAAAGGGATCAAAATTCACGAAAAATGGATCTGATTTTAACCACGAATCGGAGTACTGAAATTTCAACTTCAATCCGATTTTTAGCCATTTTCAGGCCATTTTTTCCCATTTCTAGCCTTTTTATCACTTGAAATTTCTCAGGATGCTCTTCGAATTTCCTCACAACGTGAACATTCTCTACACCGGCGACTTCCGACTCTCGGCCCAAGATTGGCAATCTTCCCACTTTTCTTCGCTTCGAAACCCGGATCATACCTTGAAATACATCAAAACCATTCATTTCGATAGCACTTTTTGCCGTCTTGGAACTCATATGATCGATCGGGAGGTCAGCAAACAGGAGGTCCGTAAAAATTCAAAAAAGTTGTTCATTTGAAAGTTTCAGGTTGTTAATCTCTGCAAAGAATGGCTAGACGAGTCGCCAAAAAATATCGTCCTGTTGTGGAGTTACGGTGTGTTTTGAAGTGGGCACTTGAGGGATTGAAATTGAAAATATAATGTTTTTCAAAGTTATATGATCAGAGGTGTAATAGAAATGAAATATCCTAAAAAAAAAGTTTTTTGAAAAGAATTTTGACAATTTTTTTAGGAAATGGCCCCTATAGGGGTTAGGATAAAAAGCCACCCCTAAAAGGGCCGAGAAAGTGGTCCCTATAAGGGTTAGGATGAAAAACCACCCCTATAAGAGACGAAAAAGTGGTCCCTATAGGGGTTAGGATGAAAAGCCGCCCCTAAAAGGGCCGGAAAAGTGGTCCCTAGAGGGGTGAAATTTAGGTGGGTGGTCCCTATAGGGGTTAAGATGGAGAACCGCCCCTAAAAGGACCGAAAAAGTGGTCCCTATAGGGGTAAAATTCAAGTGGGTGGTCCCTATAGCGGTTAGGATGAAAAGCCGCCCCTTGAAGGGCTGAAAAAGTGGTCCCTTTAGGGGTAAAATTTAAGTCAAACTAAACCCCTATAGGGACTACTTTTGCAAGCTTCAAGGCCCCTATAGGGGTTGGTAAAGTGGCCACTAGAGGGGACCCTCCAAGACCCTTTAAGGTTGCCCCTAGAGGGACCACTCTGGAGTTCCTAAGGAGGTTTTAAAGAAAAATCCTGGAGAAGGGGCGGCGGTTCTGAAACTCGGCTTGCAAATTTATTTTGTTAACTATTTATTTTTAGCTTTCTACGGACACGAATTCCTTCTTCCCGCGATTCACGCAGCAACTGGCGAAAAAATTCACGTCGATAGAGACCGTTTTAACGTCTACAAGTTAGTTTGAAAGAAGAAATTCTTTAAGAAACAAAAAACAATATATTTCACGGTATTTTGTTTTTTTTTTTAACGGGAAGTTTGCCACCAAATTTCGTGGAAAAGGGTTAAAAGAACTGTCGCGGATCTTTAATCCTCAGGGATTTTAAATGATCCCTATAGGGGCCACTCTTGCAAGCTTTAATGACCCCTATAGAGGTTGGTAAAACGGTGCGTAGAAGGGGACCCTCAAAGAATCCCTAAGGTTACCCCTATAGGGACCGCTCTGAAGTTCCTAAAACCGGCGCCCGACAAAAAGCTACTTGCGCCCGGTGGAAGGAAAGTCGCTTAAAGTCGGGCGCAGCTGCCAAGATGTTTCCAATTAAGAGTTTGAAGCTATGACATCGATTTTTCTGAATATCCCTTATAACTCAACTTGGAATAGTCTGACCTGTCTGCGCCCTCTTTTCTCTCACCGGTACGCCTAGTGACCGCAAAGCTCCGCCCCTTTTCGAGATGGTTTTTTAAATTTTGTCTTGCCTAAAAACATTTAAATAGTACGTAAATTGGAGAGAGCGCAGAGAAATCAGACTTTTTTCTGTTCTGACGGATGGGATGCATGATTTTTTTTTTTCACAAAAAATGGTCAAGTAAAATAAAAATAGAACACTACAGAGATTTGGCCGATATCGACGCCTCTTTGATGAATTCGGTGACGACAGAATGTTTGACGAGAATCCACGCGTGTGCCTATTATCGAGACGTCCAAGGAGATCCAGAAGACGAAGAAGCACCTGCCCCGAAAAAGAAGAAGGCTGGAATGGTGAGAAGAGAAAATTGATAGGTTCAAATTGAACTTTTGACGGATTCACAGTCTGCTCAAATTTCGAATATCATTTCATCGCTCAAGCTCCGCCCCTAATATCTCATTAAACCAATCAGAGAGCGAGCCATCTAGAGCCTTTTTCGAATGACGTCATACAATATTTAATTTGAAAAATTCGATTTTTTTCATTTCAAACCCGTAAAGGGTCGAGAAACGATGGCCAGCTTCAATTTTTTTCTCGTAAAAAAATTAAAATATCCAACGGCTGCATGAAAATTTGACACAGACCGAAAAATTGAGCTAATTTAAAAAAATTTTTCGACTTTTTTTCTTTGATTTTTTTGAGAATTTTCATTGATTTTTCTAGTCTTGAAATTTTGATAAAAGGAATTTTTTTGAATTTTTGAACTATCAGAGAATGCTCTCAATTGAGCTCAATGAACAGAAAGCTCGATTTTTCACTTTTCACGATTTTTAGATTTATTTTTAATATTTGGATTTTTCACGATTTTCATTACCATGAATTTTTGAAGAATCATAGTGAAACTGATGTTATTTGAACTTTCCTCTCGCTCAAAATTTACACAAAAAAATAGATTTTTCGTCGTTTTATTCGAATATTTTGCAGCCAACGACTTGCCACGCCTGCCGAGTTCAAGAATCTAACGTCCGTGTTATAAAAGTGTCGATGATGTCATTCGCGATGCTGAATAATTCAACGTGACACTGAATTTCCATCCAATTTCAATGAAAAGATTACAGAAGAGTTTCTCAAACTTGCGAAACATCCAGCGGATTGAAGTACTACAACGTCCAATATTCTTGTCACGCGTCGTTGAGAGAGGTTTTTCTGCGATTTCAATCAATAATTTATACAGAAAACTCGTGAAAGTATATAGACTCACGGCTTTCTTGAGCCATCGAAAAAAGGGTCTTGACACGAAAATGCACGAGATAGTGCCTGGCTCGTGGAGAGCGCAGACAGGACACGCCCTCTTAGCGTCCCAAGCTAGCCGTGAATCAATTTACACAGTAAATAAAAATAACGAATTTCATACAAATTTTGTGATAAATGTAAATTTCCACACTTTTTCTAGAACTTCTTCCATGTGAAATTTTAAAATTGACATTTTCCAATTTTGCATATTATTTTAAAAGGGGGATTTACAATTCCAACGATATTCATAGCTGTTGAATATGTGAATTGATAGTGATCAAATAATAGATCACGTGAGAGATATCCCAACTAAGAGTATAAAAGAAGTCGGGAACTCAGATCTTGATTGCTCGTACCGCCCACCATTCGCCTCCAGCTCCTCCGTCGCTTCCAGCTACGGACTAATCGACAACTACCTCTCCAATCTCCACTCTCCATCTTTATTCACCACTGATAATAAATAAGTGGCGAGTACTCTTCTTTCTGACACGCACACAAAGATACATTAAAGTGGCGATCAGTAAGCGGACTAACTAAATAAAAGAAAGAAATAATGACGGAAAACCCTGTTGTGTCATCAAACTCATACCTGACGAAAGGACCCGGTGCCTACGTACCGGGCACGTCATGGGAAATATATGAGAAGATGTTCAACAATTTTTCTGAAGATGCGTAAAGTAACGGTTGATACGGAAAAAGCGTGCATATTAGTATGCGAAATAGGTGTCACAGTTTACGCAGAAATAGAATCCCTGTCTGATAAACCTATAGAAAATCTGTCGTACGACGAGTTGATAATTTTGCTCAGGAAGCGTTACATGCCAAAGAAATTGACGCTGGCAGAAAGAGTGAAGTTATTAAACATTGTCCAAACAGAGGGTCAAACAGCAGAGGAATTCTATACGGAATTAAGAAAGATCGCAACCCACTGCGAATTTGACAAAGTAACAAATGTATTAGATATGATGGTTACAATGTTATTCGTAAGAGGTTGAGAGAGGAAAAAGGTCAGAGCGCAGTTGTTGAACAAAGTTAAAGCTTACGGGACCGGAAGCACTCGAAGAGGTGGCTGTGTTAGCAGCCGCGAAAAAAAGAGAGCCAAAAGATGACTAAAAAAATAATGCCACAGTAAAAACATTCACTTCTCACGGTTAGTCAACCGGTAAGACGAGATGGCCAATACAAAGATAAGGCTAAAATGAAGTGTTTTTACATGTGGAAAAATTAGGTCATATGTCCAGAGATTGCTATAGAAACAAAAAAAGTCAAGCAGTCAACATAGTAAATCACGTTCCAAAAATGCAAGGAAACCATAAAAAGAAAAACATTTCCAAAGTAAAAAATCACACTATGTCACTAATGATCGAGAATACGACAGTGAATCAGTGGATTTCGTAAATTTAGCGGAAATGGAAAATGTGGTTAATGCCATTTATCCGGCATGCATGGTACCTATAAAAGTAGACGGTACGAACGTTGATTTTGAACTGGACACCGGCGCTTCCATGAGTATAATTGGTATCTCACAGTGGGAACTTCTGAGAAAACCAAAACTCACACCCGTCGCGTATACCGCGAAGGCTTACGGGAACTCTCGAATTGAATTCAAAGGAAAGTTCAGTTCGTGGGTTGAGTTCGAGAATAAGAAAGCGCACGTAACACTGCATGTGTTAAACACCAAGGCCGTTTCTCTCTGTGGCAGAGACCTAATATGCCAATTGGGACTCGATGTCACAAAACTGTTAAGAAATCTGGTAAATGAAATGCCTAAGATAAACTCTGTTCAAGAGGTTGAGGCAGTGTTAACAGACTACCAAGAGATTTTCGAAGACGGCCTGGGTACGTGCACAAAAGTCAAAGCAAAATTACATGTGAAAAAGGGGGCAATGCCAAAATATTGTAAAGCCCGACCAATCGCATTTGCTTTGAAACCACAAGTTGAGGCAAATATCGATGAAATGGTACAGAAAGGAATCTTAGTACCAGTCGAACATGCAGAATGGGCCTCAGCTGTGGTGGTGGTTCCGAAACCAGGGGGTAAAGTAAGAATCTGTGGAGATTTCAAACAGACAATAAACCCCTGGCTAGACGTGAACCAGTACCCGCTTCCGAAACCGGAAGAGTTATTTCATGCACTAAATGGTGGGCAGAAATTCTCAAAGATCGATCTGAAAGATGCGTATCTGCAGTTGAATTGGAGGAAGAATCTAAACAGTATTTGATATTGAATACATTGAAAGGACTGTTTAGATATGAAAGACTTCCTTTTGGCGTAGCATCGGCTCCTGCAATATTCCAGAAAACAATGGAAACGATGTTGCAGGGGGTTCCCGGAGTTATAGTCTATCTGGACGATATCACTATAACCGCGCCATCCGACGAAGAGCACATAAAACGATTAAGAGAAGTGCTAAAGAGAATTAAAGACTATGGTTTTCGGGTGAAGAAAGAGAAATGCGAATTTCTCAAACCGGAAATAGAGTACCTGGGACATATAGTAAACGCCGAAGGCGTAAAAACGTCCTCAAAAAAGGTAGAAGCCATAGTCAAGATGCCACCACCAAAGAACTTAAAAGAATTACAATCGTTCTTAGGCATGATAACTTATTACGGGAAGTATATACCAAACCTGTCATCGGAGAGCGCACCGTTAAATCGGTTGCGACAGAATGACGCTGAGTGGGTTTGGGGAGAAAAGGAGCAGATGGCCATAGATAAAATAAAGAAAATACTGGTAGACAGTGGAACACTGGCACACTACGACCCTACAGAGCAGATAGTGCTCGCGACGGACGCGTCGGATTACGGGCTAGGTGCAGTGATATAC